GAAAATTTTCATTATTTACGAAGAAAAAACAAAAAACCCGGGTCCAACCATGGGAGCCTGGTTGGTGTAACGGCAGCATACTGGGATTAGTAACTCAGCGACCCGGGTTCGACTCCTGGACCAGGCTACACTTTTTCTTTTTTGCATTTTTTAGAAATGCGATCCCAAGTGCCGAGTCAAGCAGGACCTAAAAATTCTTATCAAAAAATCCAAAAATCCCGATTTTCAAAAATAATTTAGATTTTAAAAAAGGTTGCAAGTTTTTAGATAGCTTTTCCAGATGAAAGATAGCTAAATTTCACCAAAAAGACGAATAACATACATACGAGGCATTTATGGGCTTATAGGAAAAAAATTAGAAAGAAAAAAGGATAAAATAGACAAGCTGGATGTTTTTCCTTCAAACTCAAGCTTTCAAAATTTTTCTTAACCCCGATTTCTTCTTATTTATCTTTTTTTTCTTTATTTTGAACCTAAAACTAAAAAAAAAACAGCAAAATTCACCACCTGGCTCACTCGGTGAAAATTTTCACCGCCTCCGCACAAAAATAAAAAACCGCGCCCCGCCCATGGGAGCGCGGTTGGTGTAGCGGCAGCATACTGGGATCCCCAACCCAGCGACCCGGGTTCGACTCCTGGACCGCGCAAGATTTTTTGCTTTTTGCTTTTTTGGAAAATAATAACTTTAAAAACAAAAATAAAAATTTTTAGATATTTTACCTGTTTGCCACGCACTAACAGGTTGGTAATCGACGGCGCCAGGCTGTTCACGCTTTTCTGGAGGTGGCCGGCGCAGTATCTAAAGGAAATTACTTTCGAATGCACTATATAAAATATTTAGCCAAATATCATAATTATTTTGAAATATTGTTGATGAAAAATTCAATTTTCAACATATTTTGAAGCGAAAAATCCAATAATCCCATAAACTCACCGAACTAGCCACCACAGCCGCAGTTGGCAAGCGGTGCGGTAGATTTTCTCGAGCCGCTCCCGGAGTGTGGCTAAAAATTCAGACTTTTAAAAGTAAAAGGTTATTACTTGTTCCAATCATGAAATCGGGTCCGGCTCGTCGCCAAAACGCCACAATGGCAAAAGCGGTGGCGCGCAGCTTTTCCGGCTCGTCATGGACGAGAACTTCATACAACGCGTGGTCGCTCATCGACGTGAAGTCGGACTGAAAAGAGGTAATTAGAGAAAGAGAGAAAGAGAGAGAACGAGAGAGAGAGAGAGAGAGAGAGAGAGAGAGAGCGGGAGGGAGAGAGAGCCGCACCTCCACCACCGTCTCGTCGTCATTAGCCGCCTCTTTCAAGCTCGTCCTCGATCGATAATCCGAGCCGGGGCCTAAATTTAATTTCGATCAAATTTCAATCTGGAGCTGACCATCGTCTTCCTCTAACTTGTCGATATCAAACTCCACGTCATCCGAGTTCGCAAAGTCGACGTGCTCGATGCAGGCCGAGTTCAGAAGCTGCTAAAATTAGAATTTTAGGTTCGGATTTTTTAACACAAATAAAAAGCCTTTTTATTGATAATAAAGATACTAAAACTATATACGGAGCTCCATGTAGCATCAAAACTACTCACATGAACCCTGCCGAGCCGAACCCTGATCCCGCCGACGAAGCCATTCTTCAGCTGCACGAGCAGGTCCATCATATGGTCGAAGTAGGGGCCGAGCACGTTTTCCTCACTGTAAAAAAGCGTCCTGCGGAATTTAACAATTACCGTAACAAGACGCACATCGTCGGCCTTCCCGACAGCTTCCAACGACGGGCGATGAACTCGATTTCGTGCTAAAAATGCTTATTTTTTTTAAATCGTACGTAAGAGTACGCCTACAAGGGACTTCAGGGTTTCGTACGTTGCTCAAGCGTACGCCGCGTACCGTAATTTGGAGCTAAATCTGGTTTTCTCACCTTGATATCGTCAATTAGAATCGCCGGATCGGAGGCCACATAGAAATCTTTGACCTCGAAGAGCAGCGGGTAGCACATCACGGTGTCACCGAATACGCGGTACACCTAAAAACGGATGATGTAGTGAAAAATTCGGAAAACACGACATACCTTGGATGTCGACAATGGCCCGAACGGTCTTGGGGGTCTCCCGTCGAGCAGGAGCTTTGGGTCTCGTCCAAGGCATTCGAAGACCTGAATTGGATGGATTGCAGGATGAAAATTGCGTATAATATCGACAACAAGAATTAAGATGTTAAAAATACCGACACTCCTAATATCGACGATTGATAATGCTGACAAATCATTAACTCGGCTAATTTCCGAATATTCGATGAAATCGAGAAAAAAAGAATTCAGGAATTATGAGTGTCGGTATTCTGAGTATCGGCATTATCACGAGGATGCGTGTCGAATAATGCCGACATCCAGAATTTTAACACCTAAAATATCGACAACAATAATGCGCAATATGATAAGTCGCAAAACGCTCGCCAGCCACATTCTTAATAGCTTTCCAAAATTATTTTCAAAGCCTGAATAAAACGATTTTAGAGGTCGGTATTTTAGTATCGATATTCTGGGTGTCGGAATTCTCGCTTTTTCGGGGGCCTTTAGATCTTAACCCACCTTCACCAGCCGCCAACTCGGCCAAATTTGGACCGGCTCGACCTCATGCGGGGTCTGGGTGGCGATACCGTAAGTCGACAACGTCATCTGGAGCCGAGCGGACTCGGCGATCAGCGCAATTTGGACGACGGGGTCGCCCTCCATCGAACCCTAAAAACCGGTTTTTCTTCGATTTTTCGAAAATCTTGTGTCCCAAGAATCATCTTTGTATTCCTGGTTTTAGGAAAAATGCGTCGAAAAAATAAATTTAATTTAAAAATGGGATTTCTACAAAAACCAGTCCCTTTTTCACTACTAACCAACCTGAAAAGCGCTATGCTTGATGAAGATCTTTGGGCGCTGGCTAGCGGGTAGATGACGCGTCATCGGGTCGATGTCACCGGCGTGGACGAGGCCTTCGCCTAAAATTTGGGTGTAAAAACAGTCCTTTAGAACCCACGTAATAGCAGCGCGATGATGTACAACGAATTCGTCCACAGATGATGCCCAAATTCCGACGGGTTCTGGGGGTACAAATCGGTGGAATTCGGCTGCCGGCGCTCCTGCTGGTAGTTCAGCTCGTCGACCACGTAGCACTCGGGTAGGATTTTGGCGCCGGGAACTGAAATCACGATATTTTATTAGTTTCTTGCGCTCTACCGTCCATATCGTCGATGAGCAGCTCCTGCAGCTTCTCCCAATAGCGGTTCGCCACCTCGGTGTCGCCGCGAATGCTGGCTGAAAACGTGGTATACTTTTCGATTGATTCTGTTTGATTGCAAATTTTTTAATCTTGAAAAATATCGATAAATCTATCATCTTTACCTGTAATATACATGACGCAGATGAACATCGGAAATTGCGACTCGATGTTGTGAAAACGGGACGTCTCGTGGTCGTGGTAATGGTTCCGGGACGCGTCTTCGATTTCAGTGCGGTAGCCGTCGCGCAAAAACCTAAAAAATTTACAAACCTTAAAAACACGACAAACCTCCGGACGCCAAATCTCCCCTCCAAGTGCTTGTAGATCTTCTCCATTGACTTCGAGAAAAGCGCCGTGTCGTGGGTGGCGAACGCCGGCCAGCCGATGGTCATCACCAGCGAGGCATCGGTGGTCTAAATTTGATATTTTTTTTTTAATAATTTCAACGTAATTTTTAAAAGTGACAAATTTTGAAAAATACATGCTATAACATTAACTTTTCAGATTATAAAAATAAAATATTAATAGTAACCAAATCATTATTCAAATAGATACCTTCGAAGCCGATTCCCTAGGCAAAATCGTCTCGAAGGTCGTCCTATTTCTGTTGTGCCCATCAATATCGACGTAGATGACCGACGAGGATGTGCCGTACGAGCCGAACAGGTTGAAGCCGTTCACCGCTTCCAGGGCTGCCTAAATTTACGTGTAATATTTGAGCGGTGAATTTATCTCCAGCAAATTTCATTAATCAGCAAATCATCACAAATAAAACAATTTTTCTCAACCATTTGTACGCACTTTGACCATGCCCACGCTGCTCGCATGAAGCTCCGGGTCGCCTTTGTTATATCTCGTCCCGCGCTCCCACATCCCGAAATCGGGGGTCCGGTACGTGCGCTCGATGTAGAAGACCAGATTCTGCACGAACTGGACCTCGTGGTGCGTGTAGATGACCTGGAAAATATTCTTAATGTTATTTTTTAATTTCGAACTACCTTTTCGCCTCCCACGATCATTTGTACAACAGCGAGCAGCCACAGTGCCACCAGGTCCATTTGTAGGTGGCCGTAGCTCTAAAAAGTTTTTTGTATTTTTTATAAAATAACAAAAATGTTTAGGTTTTTAGAAAGTTTTTATCGTGCTTTTGTCAATCGAAAAAAATATGAATTTATAATTTTTTGAGCGTCTAATCTTTACACGAACACGATTCAAATACACGAAAATTAAAAGCTTTATTTAATCTCCATTTTACCGAAAACCATCAATTTGCATTTTTTTTATGTTGAGGTCACGAGATAAGAATTTTTACCTTTTCGTTTGGCGTCGCCAGCGTCATCCCGGTCTGGAGATCAACACGAGAGTGTAGCGCGTGCTCGGGCGAGTTGTTCGACTTGAATTTGTTGAGCTAAAAGTCGGTGACCTTCATATACCAGTGTTAACCTACCGCTTCTGACTGTTGCATCCACGAGAAAAGGATCCCGCGCATCGTCTTGACGGCCGTTTGCCGGAGCTCTGTCTCGCGGCCACGATCGTCATCGAGTCTCCTAGAGTTTTGGATAAAATTAGAAAATCGGCGCTTTTTACTTGTAAGCGATCGAGCTGGCCCAGCAGGCGAGCGCGCAGTAGATGCTGTCCTTCACGTAGCCAACATCCTTGTCTTTTGAATATCGCGGGAAAAGGCCGCTCGTGACGCTCTGTTGCTCCAGGATGAGGTATTCGACTGAAAACAAGTTTTTTTTGTATATTCAAAAACTTTAAGACTTTTCTAAACGTGTCTAGAAAACATAAACCCTTTTAAGGTGCGCATTCACATGAGTGCGACTGAAAATCCGTATTTTCTTGTCTAGACGTCAAAACGCAGACTTTTTCTGGACAATATTCGTCAAGGTGAATTTTATGTGCACGGGGTATTCGTACAAAATAATTTGCGATTTTTATATTTAACTTTTTAACTTTTGCGATTTATATACAAACGTAAATTTTTATATTTTTTGGCCCTGCTAGGCTACATATTTACTTTTCTACACGAGGTATTCGAGAGAAAAACAACTTTTTACACTAGATTCGCAATTTCCAGACTTTTTCCAACTGACCAGTATCATAAATCGCGTCCATCTTGCTGAGCACACTCGCCTGGCTCGGGTTCACGTAGCCGGACGGGGCCAGATACGCCTGGGTCAACCGCCGGAGCCTCAGATTGCCCGACGTGGGTCGCTGGCGTCGGCGCGCCAGATTTGTCGCCGCCATCATCAAATGGTTCTCGCCTAAATTTCTTTATTACCACAGAAGAGAAAGAAACCGGAATAAAATGGAAATTCGAACCCAGAAAAAAAGTGAAAAACGGGGAACTAGAAGGTGGGAAGCTAAAAAATCCATACCCGATCTTCGAAAAAAATCACAATACGTAACAGCGGGACCTTCAAAATGGTTTTAAAATCACAAAAACGAGCGCGAAAGCCTAGCGAATCATTTGGAAAGTATTATTGGTTAAAAAGACGCTTAGAAGCATTAGGCAAAAAAGCAGGCGATAGAAAGCAAACTCAAAAACACGCGGGGGCTGACGGAAATCGTTTTGAAGGGTTGGGAAATTTGGCAAAAAGTAATATTTGGACGAAATTTTTGGTTTTTCGAAGTTATACAAAAGAACAGGTTTGAAGAGAAATTGTCGCGCGCTAGCGGAAATAACCTGGAAAAATTGATCCTTTGGCCAAAGTTTCTGTTTTAATGCAGAACAAAACATCCGAATTACACCAATTTCGCGAATGCCGCCGACCAGCTATGATCAAATTGGGCTTCCGAGAACTTGTTGACGTGAACGCGGGCTTTTCGTCGAATATTATCCCGAACCTCACCGTCCAGGGCCAAGATCTCGTTCATCCGCGCCACGTATTCCTCGCAGGTATCGGCCAAAAAGCCAACTTCTCCTTCCGGCACAACAATGTCCATCGCCGGTCCACCCGAGTTGTGCGCCACCATAATCGAGCCCGATGCCAAGCCCTCAACGACCGCAATCCCGAAATGCTCGTTGCGCATCGTGTGCAGGTTTATCAGCGAGTTTTGCAGTAATCGCTCGAGCTCGTCAGACTTTACGTTCAATTGCCAATCCACGGATTTCGTTAAGCCCAGTTCTTCTGCGTACTTTTTCAGCGCATCAACCCGATCCTGATCGTCCTGATTCCGGCAGCCTCCGGTAATCGAAAGCCGGATTTTCTGAGGGTACCTCTCCCGGTCCAATCCGTCCAAAAATTGCTTCAGCGCCGCGATTTGCAACCGATGATTTTTCTCGGGACGAATCTGGCCGACCGAAACGATGTTGATCTCATCGTTGAACAGCTCCTCAGCATTGTTTTCCAATGCGCGCAACTTGTCGGTGTTGACGGGCGGGAAAACAAGTTCCACGTCCTGGCGATGCCAAATTGAGGTGATATGGCCCTTCGTCCACGTGCCGTTGACCATAATCACATCGACGAAGAGGCCGAGGAAGCGGTAGAAGGCCGCGAACAGGTAGTAATAAACCAGCTTCAAGTTGCTGAACACTGTGTTGGTGTTTGCGTTGTTGAAAGCGGCTTGCCGGCGCGCCACCACGTCAATCATATCCGTGGAAATGGTCGGGTAGTGAATATAGGCTCCGGTTTTCGTGGCCCCGAACAGCTTGAAAACGAAAGTAGACATGGGGTAGCCCATCGAATCGACCATAATCTCCGGCGTCAACTTCCAGAGCGCCTCGAAAGCTAGCACTCCGCCGGCCAGTGTTTGTAGCAGCAGCGTGAGCACGGGGTAAAGTTGGGGCTCCACGACGCGTCGGCTCTTCAAAAACACCACTTCCAGCTTCTTTCCGTCGAGTTCGATGCCGAAAAATGTGTGTGCTTTCCATAAAATCGATTCCTTGGTGGCGTTGGTGTCCCCGGAGTAGATATAGCACGTCAAATCCGGGTGCTCAGCGCGTACGCTTCGGACGGCCGCCCACAGCACTCGTTCGCCACCCCCGCCGGCGTTGCAATAGGGGTGGAAGAAGGCGACGGACTTTGGGACACGTCGATTTGCGAAGATGTGCCGGATTTGGTGGATGATGAAGGCGATGAAGGCGACGGGGAGCAGGGGGAGAAAGAGGTAGTGGACCAACGAGTCCCACATTTTCCTGAAAAACTTGAGTGTAATATTGGGACATCCAAAAAAGTAGGAAGAAGTTTCATCATAAATTCGCCCCTAGGCACATATTTTCGCGAAATCTTTATCCAGGAAAGACACATTGATTGCCAAGTTGTCTACTCGACGTTCAAAGCTCAATATTTTACAATCTTAATATTAAAAAACCTTTTTAGTAAGATAAAAACTTTGTTTTTCAGCCGGCCCCTTTGTTGCCACAAACGTTGCACGGCAAGATGCTTTGCCGAAGTGCAGCAGCGTGCCATTGCAAGGAGTACTCCTGCGGAATCACCCTAAACAACAAACAATTTCGTCAACTGGAAATTTACGTCGTTTTTCAAAGCCAAAAAACGTTGAATTCCAATAAAAAATGCGTAAATTTTAACTTTATAGTTAGTTTTTCAATCTATGGGCATAATGATTCGTTTTTACAGCGGGAAATAGCCTTTATGCCGGGCGTATCAGCCTTTGCTTCAGGTCATCGGGGTTCGGGATTAATCCTTATTTTGAGATCGACTTTTATAATGTTAGTTTTTGTAAAATATGGTTAAACTAGTCGATTAGATAGAACTTTTACACTTTCTAGTCTTGTTTATCAACTTTCTAGTCTCTTTGCCCCGCCTAAAACCACAACATGGTGTACTTTGTGCGCATTGAGCTGGAACTCTTTTAGCACATAGGTCGCGTTTTCTGCTGACAAAGGGCTATTTTTGAGGAATATGCTCGGGTCATTGCGTGATACAAAAATATAATTTTTTTATGCTGCCCCTCGATTTTATCGGCAATTCAATAACGTTCCAGACAAAACATACCGCGATAGGCTTCGGGATGAGCACCACTTTACAGCTATGACTCAGAAAATATTTCCTGGACCCTCGAGCTCAGGGCTTGTTTTTGCGAAAATATTTTGACAAAAACGTCTTTTTATTGAATTCTGAGGAAACCAGTAATCTATAAATTACCCAAATTGGTGTAATTTGAGCGCCAGGCAAATAGCGGTTACGCCCGACGGCGTCAATTTGCGAATTGGCTCTTCTGCCTCGCTGTTCCATTTGGATTAGATTCTATTTGATTTTAGCGTTAGTGTCGCTTTTTAAAATTTTTCAAGCCCACTTAAATAAAATATAAAATTTAGAAATGTCTTGAAAATCGCAAAAATTCACTCGCCTACCAAAAACTTTCAGAAATGTCTGCTCCCGCAATTTCGGTGATCGAGCGCGCGCTGGCCGGCTTCAAGCCGGAAGACCACGGGCTGCCAGCCGACTTCATCCTCACCAAGCTGACGGCGATGAAGGGGTGCGGGTGCAAGGTGCCTAGAGAGGTTTGTTCATCAGGTTTCCGGCGGAGAATTCAATTTTTAGGTCCTCCTCGAGCTGCTGAAAACGTTCGACGACGGCAGCATGGTCATCGACAATGATGCGGGCGTTGGTAAGTTTCATGATTTTTGGGTTTAAATTTAGCTAGATATTTTAAAAATCAAAAATTTTAATTTTGATGATTTGATTTTATAACAAAATATTTTTCTATTTTTTCAGGCATCGGGCTCGACAGCTGCGTCGTCCCTCTCCGCCACAAGGGCCTGAACCTCGTGCAGACGACCGACTTCTTCTACCCGCTCGTTGACGACCCGTACTTGATGGTAACTTATAATAATGTTATAAACTAAAAATATAGCTAAAACTATTTCTCTAAAATAAAATAAAATATAATAATATAAAAAATAAAAAATAAAGAAATATAACCATTATTTTTAGGGCCGTATCACCGCCGCCAACGTGCTGTCCGACTTGTACGCGATGGGCGTGTCGGAGTGCGACAACATGTTGATGCTCCTTGGGGTGAGTAGCTTGTGAAACTTGTAAAATCAAATGTAGTTTCAGTAAAATCACAAAAATTCCGGAATACTCCAATTTTCAGGTGGCCGTTGAACTCGACGGTGTCGCCCGGGACGTCATCATCGGCCAGTTCATGCAGGGCTTCAAGGACAACGCCGATATGGCCGGCACGAAAGTGAGAGGCGGGCAAACGGTCCGTTGCCCCTGGCTTCTCCTTGGCGGCGTTGCGTCTAGCGTCGCGGCAGATGACGAAATCATACGGTAAGTTGGGCTAGAATTGTGAATTTTGACTTGAGAACCCCTTTGATTAATAAATTTTAATTTCAGAGTAGACCAAGCGAAGCCGGGCGACGTTCTCGTGCTCACAAAGCCGATTGGCGGCCAAGTCGCTGTAAATTCGTACGAGTGGCTGAAGAAGAAGACGGGCCGCGTCGAGGAGCTCGGTCTCGATGAATGCAAGATTTTGAAGGCTTTTCAGCAGGTAAATGGGTGTTTTTAAAAATTTTAAATTAAGAAAAAATGTCTGAATTTTATAAAGTGATATTAGCTTTTGCTTAATTTTTTCTTTCAGTCAACGTTTAAATTAATGTTAAACGAATTTTACAGGGTGTTTCTGTTCGTGTAGCGTTACTAACATTTTTTTCAGAGAAAATATATTTGCTTATTCTTATTTTGACATCTCGAAAACGATATTTCTTTCCTTTTAAGCCATTTAATTGAGATTTAATAAATCTTCTTGGGCATTTTTTATTTATAAAATTAATTTAGTAAAGTTGTGGCTAAAAATATATTTTATTGCTTTTTCCAGGTAACCGTCCAAATGTGCCGACTGAACCGAAACGCGGCCAAGTTGCTGCACAAGTATCAAGCCCACGCCTCGACTGATGTTACCGGATTTGGACTGCTAGGTAGGTTCGGCTTTTTATTTGTTACCCTTCGGTTTCCTTTTTGAAGTTTGAAAAACGTGAATAAACTATAATAATTTTTTTCATGTATAAGCTTTTTTAGGCCACGCCGACAACCTCGCCCGAGCCCAAAAAGAACAGGTCCAATTCGTCATCGAGCACCTACCAATTATCGAATATATGGACGAGATTGCGACCAAGATGCCAAACGGCAATGGATTCAACCTATTTACTGGTGCGTTGGCCTAGTTTTAGACTTTTTAATGAGTTTGAAAAGGCAGAATTATCGATAATTTCTACCAAATTTTTATGTAATGCGTGTTCCTTTGTGGTCCCTTTAAGAGTCCGAATTCTCCATTTGCAAACCTCGTTCTCGTTTTCCATAGTTTTTAATAATTTTCAAAGCAGCAAGGCTCTTGGATTTCCAATTTGTCATCAAGAGCATTTCGGATTTTAGGCACCTCCGCCGAGACATCCGGCGGCCTGCTCATCGCCATGTCACTGGAGAATGCCGCCGAGTACATCAGGGAGATCGAGATGGTTGGTACTTTGATTTTAAAGGGTCAAAAAAACGCGAGAATCGACGTTCACCCCTTCAAACTTAAAAAATTAGGGAAATCCTGTGCTTTTCAGTTGGACGGGTTCCCCGCCTGGATCATCGGTCGCGTGGAGGCCACTTCCGGAAATCGAGGAGCCGTTATCTCGCCGGATCGCCAAATCCACAGTGTCTCCTCTAGCATTCATCAGCAGCTAAATTAAAGTAGCTCCCGGTATTGATTTCGAAATTTTACATTGCTGCAATTTCTTGTGATTTTTTGATCTTGACCTCAATGTGAATTGGCTTGTGATTTTACTACAGTATTTTTTCGTGAATAAATATATGCATTTAAAGGTTTCAAGCGAGAGAGAGCGAGCGAGCGAGAGAGAGGGAGGGAGAGTGCGAGAGAGAGGGGGTGAGAGACGGTGAGAGGGAGAGAGAGACAGTTAGAGAGAGCGAGAGCGAGGGAGAGAGAACGAGGCAGGAACCGTTAGCTGAACTGTGTTATGACCGCGTGGGCTTTTACTACCCTCCAAATCCAACTTTTTGGGTACGGTCGTAAAAATCGGACTTTTTGGATACTGTCTACTGTTGGATTTCGTAGCAAAATGTCCTCAGGGTCGGCCAGACTAATTCTGATTTTATGTTGCGTGTGGGTGGAGAGGTCAAGAATTTACGAGGGGAAACTTGTATAAATATGGGTGCTGTCGAGGGAAGGATATCTTATTCGAGCCCCCAGTTCGACCATCCATCCAATCATGGTAATATTTAGCTGCCTTACGGTAGCTAGGTCACCTTTCAGCATTCCTTCTTCATCCTCGCCGTGCTCGTCGTGGCCGTCTCGACGTTCACCCAGCTGCCCTCCACCTACACGACGAAACAGAAGAAGGACGCGTGCGCGGCAAGTTTTAAGGGACCAGCGGTTTCAAGAATTATTGGAACTTTTCTGTTAGCGGGGGAGGGTAAATTAGAGCTAGAGCTAAGGCTAGCGAAGTAATTTTGATAATTTCAGGATTACTGCAATGGCCAGGCTACCTCCCTGTCGACCGGGTTCGCATTCCAGAGCAGCGGCTGGGAGTTGTGCAACTGCGCGCCTGCTCAGGCTACTGGAAGGTATCGGAATCGCTCTCTCTCTCTCTCACGCTCTCTCTTACTCTCTCTTTATCTCTCTCTCTCTATCTCTCTCGCTCTCGCTCACTAACTTAACTTTTCAGCTGGAGCGCGTCGAGCTGCTACTCATCCTGCTACAGCCGCTGCCAGAGCACTCTCGGACTCTGCGCCTGGAACTACGCCACCAACACTGATTATCATGGGTATGATTTTATACCCTGTTATGGGTTGAACACCGCATTAATGATACCTTTCCTGTTATGTACCGTAAGCTACGCTTCAGTCTGTGCTGCACGAACTCGAACACCACCACTTCCGTCTGGAACACTTGCTTCAAGAACGGAACCGGTCTCTGCTACCAAGCCTAGAAAGCGTTTATTTCGAGCATATTGATAAGCTGAAACCCAGTGGTGTTACGCATAATAAACGTTATATTGCAAACTACGATCAATATACGCCAAAAATCCTTTGGTCCGGGCAATTTTAAGCTAACCTAAAAGCTAATGAAACAGTGAAATTCTATCGACCCTAGGGCGTCCAGGACCAGACTGCTGCATGTTCCGCCTAATGTCCCTGCTTTGGTTGAATTTGGGTTAAAATCCGCATCCAAATCTAACAGAGGAGAGAACTATTCAAGAAGATAAGAAAACACACAAGATAGTTCAACTTAGAAATTTTGTGGAAAAGCTTTTACAAAGTTTAGAAGATCTCTCTCTCGCTTTCTCTCACTATCTCTCGCGCTCTCTCTCCCTCTCCCCCTTTCTCTCTCTCTCTCTCTCTCCCCCCCTCTCTCTCTCTCTCTCTCTCTCTCTCTCTCTCTCTCTTGCTCACTCTCTCTCTCTCTTTCACCCGCTTCGACGGACTTATTGTTAGTTCCAAATCTCCCTTTGCCTAATGACGGGCAGTGTTGTGTGGCTACCCTTTCCGGTAACCATGGCTACGAAACAGCTGGCCCGACCCCAGCCAGCCAGCCACATATTCCCCAGCTTATAGGGCTTTTCTCCCCTTTCGAGGCCCCGATTCTTTCTTGATACATTCTGCCACTGCCACATCCGCTCTACCCGATTCCACTTCATCGGCCGGCCTGGAGGTCCATTCATTCGGAATCAACTGCCACGTCTAGAGAGACCACGCTCAATATTCCGAGCCGCTACTAACGACTATGCTGGTGCTAAAATGGACTTGAATTCTAGATAAATGTGCTTTTTACTGATGACGGCCGATCATTTACTGGACTTTTCCACGCGCAACGATTCCGGAATTTATTGCTGGATGCGCATAATGGTAGGAAAAAAGCAATTTGAAGGAAAAGGGAGAAATTGATGTTTTTTTTGGCTAATTCCTAGCTAGCCAGGCGTGGAAAACATGACCATGGTTGATTTAAAATTTATGTGAATTTAAGGAGCTGTGATTTATGAAGAATTTATTTTTGAGAATTAAAATTTTGGCCACTAGGGCAACCGAAAATCACCTAAAAATATTGTTTATGGCGTTTTAACCAGTTTTTCGCGCTGTTCGAATATATTTGAATTAAACAAAAGTAATGACAATTTCTGAATTTTATTAAACTTCAAAACCGCCGATTTGGAACTTTACGATTAAATTTAATCTTTCTACGGTTTTTAATCCTTTTTAGTTTTCGTTTTCGGGTAGTTTATAAGCAAAAATGCAACGAGGATTTCTGATTCTAATTTTATTTAATAGTGGGGCATCGGTAATACCTCCAAAAAGTGCATAAAAACCAAAAAAAATATCAGTTTACCTTTTTAAAATATTTTTTTTAGGGAACGCCCATGCCGGCGAACAACTCCGTGATGTTGTCCGTCTAATAGCCGCCTATTTCCTTGATCTGCCGTTATTCCTGCCAGAAGTTGGCGAGAGCCTTCCCACGCTTTTTGTTTGGTGCGAGCTGAGCCAGGATGGTAAGTTTCGGTCATAAACACCCGACAATTTAAAAAATGGCACCCCGGGTAATCTGCAAAACATTAATTATCAAGCCATACATCTTTTCGCCAAAAAGCAAAAAGTCTTTGGAGGTACGGGGGTTCGAACCCCGGACTTTTCGCATGCAAAGCGAACACTCTACCTCTGAGCTACACCCCCATAGGAGAGGGCCTGGGGGCAGGGTTGTTGAAGGGAAGGAGCTGCATTGGCCGGGGCGCACCGACAGATGCTTGAATCAAGCCCGAAAAATCGATATTGATGGTTTCCGTTACTTTATGATAAAATTAGCGTATTAGATAGTAAAAAATCAAGCAATTTAATGGCTTAAAAGGCAAGAATAAAGTTAAAGTAAATACAGCAAATTTTCAGCCCTTCCCACCACCACAAAACGCTTGAATCGAGCTGACGTTTCGCTGGCACTTTCACCGGAATTAGGGCCAAAATGCCCAGTGATAATGCTCGTCTTTCTTGGCCTTCCGTTGGAGGTAAGAATTCCAAGGGTTTTTTTTTAAAGATATTCTCTGGCTTTAAAACTTATTGCGAAAATTTTCATATTTTTAGGGTTTCCTAACGTTTACAAATAGAATTTTAATAAAATTTAGTCGTCGTTAAATACTTTTATAACTTTATTTAATTTACAAAATAAGAAGGTAGTTTTTATTCTTGTATTTGTCAATTTTGGACCCATTTTTCGAGGTAGATAGGCTGTGTACGCGCCTTTTTTAGGCGATCCTCTACAGCGACCACTTTGTCGACATCCGATCCGGGCTGATCCTGAGGATATTTGCCGATTTTTGCTTCGGGTATGTAATAGAAAATTATAATGATTTAGCAACGCCAAAAAAAGCGTAAAAATTCACAGGAATTGACGAATTTTCAGGTTTTCCTTGACCTCCGATCACATTTACTACATGCTCCATGAGGGAATTCCGGAAGAGGTGGGTAAAATACGTAATTTTTTTCGTTGTCTTTTGTAGTATTATATAGATGGACAATTTTATTTGTTTTCAATCATAAAAACTCAAATTTTATAACAAATTTTTCTACCGAGCCTTACGATTCACCGAATTAATCTTTTTGATCAAATTTTCATTAGTTCGCCCTTTAGAAATCGGTTTAAAATAATTTACATTTTATTCTAGATTGAACGGCTACTGGTAAAACCAAGCACGTCTACCGCCGGCGAGCTCGAGAAGTACTGTAGAAAAGCGGCGACGGCGATTATGGAGCTGGATATTTGTGAATTTTCGGAGAAAGCTTAGCTGTTTTATAAAAAACGCGTTAAAATCGATATATTCGGATCCACACGAGCTTAGTTTAGATTTACCTACAGAAACTGCAAAAAACTATAAAAAGCAGCCACGTTTCAGTACTATCCACTAGTCGGCTGATGGCCTTCGAAATTTACCTGCTCGGAAAAGCAGAATTCGTCTTCGCCCGGCTGCCCGTACATAGTAGTTCGGAATTTGCCAAGACCGTAAGTTTAATAAGGTTTAAACCTATATAATTTTAATTCTTGTCTCTTACTAGCTCTCTCTCCCTCGCTCTCTCTATATCTTGTCTCTCCTCTCTCTCTCTCTCTCTCTCTCTCTCTCTCTCTCTCTCTCTCTCTCTCTCTCTCTCTCTCTCGCTCTTACGTTAAGTTTAGCATCGACATCGTAAAGTATAAATCCGTTTTTCAGCTTCCCCGTCCTCCCATCTACGCCGTCCCCAACGCCCTAATAGGCTCTCCGAAGAAGGGACAAACCGACGAGGTGGCCGCCCATTGGCAGGCCTATGCGTTTGTTAATTTGTTGCTCGAGGTATCTATTTTTAATAGCTTTTTAGGGATTTTACGCGTATTTACCTGCCTGAATTTTCCTTCTTTTTAGTGTCTCCACGCGACAAACCGTCTACACTATGAGGTCGAACAATTACGGGCCATCCTTGCTCAATATGATATGCAATTTAAGGTTAGAGAGGGAGAGAGAGAGAGAGAGAGAGAGAGAGAGAGAGAGAGAGAGAGAGAGAGAGAGAGATAGAAAGAGAGAGAGAAAGTGCTAGAGAAAAGAACTGATTTTTTTTCAGCCAAATATCCTCTCCCCTCGTGGTGCTATGCGGGTCGTGAATTCGTCTACAGTATCCTTGCGTCTACTCCGACTCCTGATCCTGAGCCTCCAATTTACATATCGTGATCTATTCAGCCAGGCGTTAGCTAAGGATTGGGTTAGTTAAGTCATCGAAATTCAGAAAAAGTTTTTTAGGCTGATGCCCAAAAATTGGCGAAAAAATACAAGGCCCTACTAGTTGAGGAGGACAAGAAAACGAATGAGCAATTGCTGGAGAGGTGAGAGAGAGAGACAGAGTGCGAGAGAGAGAGGTAGAAAAAAGAAGCGAGAGAGGGGGAGAGAGAGGGTCATAAAAAGAGAGCGAGAGAGTACAAATCTATTTTTTAGCTTCTTCTCCCTAGCGGACGAGGAAGATTTGGCACACATTAACGTCTTCCTCCGGTTTATTGAGGAACGATTTCCGCGAAGAAACACCATGCCCGCATACTGTAGTGCTACTAGAGAGGTAAAAAATATCTAATACTCAAAAATCATGTTATCAATTTAGATCTGGCTAGAGCACCTCTTCGAGCATGAGGTAGATGCTCATGAGCGTGAGGTAGATGAAGGAGAATGGCTACGAGGGCATATTCGGGTGGAGAACAAGGTCAGCTACATTCATTACTGGTTAACGGGGCCGGCAAGGCTCGGATCCATAGCTTTTCTATTCCTCCTTTTAGGTCAGCCAGCCGGTGTACACGATGCTCCAATACCTCGCCACCTCTTGGACTACGATGCCTACTACGGACAGATCGCTAATAGCAATCCCTCTACACGTCAGCCCAAAAGATCTATGCATAGCTAGACCCCAGAATAGCCCGAGGTGGGTGAAAAATGCTTCCACAAAATTTTCCACGTTGGTATAGAAGCCATGTTCCTCAAAAATCGAATACAAGCAAAAATGGAGCTCCGAAATTTTGTAAAGCAATGTAATCTGCTCAATGCTGGCTCATTAATCGAGGATATCGAGCTACCGTAGCCCGCCAAAATTTCAATTTTAGGCTCGAGCCAACACATCAAGTCGGTGGACGAAGCATGAGTGTCGATCAACCTTTTTCAATGATGTTGACCAGGTACCTTTTAAAGGACCTTAGAAGCCCAGACGACCTGCTGGAGGCTGTGTTTAGGAATGACAAACCTTCTAATTTCAGACCGTCGACTTCTGCCTACCATCAGCAGCCCACTCATAAGAAGGATCTGATTTCCGGGTAATTCAGGGGTTCAGCGACATCAAAACATACTTTAGAATACGCCGAGCGAGGAGTCCGACTTCTTGGAAGGGGTGCATTACCGAGGGATGGACCGGCCGGCACCGTGGTGAGTTAGGAAATCGTTTCTCTCTCACTCACTCTCACTCTCTCTCTCTCAAACACTCTCTCTGGTTCTAGCCCAAAAATCACAGGATTTGTAGATCGCCGCTAGGAAGCGATTAGACGACCGGGTCAGGAGAATGGTGGAAACACAACGGGATTTGGAGCGAGAAGTCGATTCCGTAAGCTGGAAGAGAAAGTCAAACAGAGAGGAGAGAGAGAGAGAGAGAGAGAGAGAGAGAGCGACATAGTGAAAGACTGTGACATCCCATTAAAATTGATAATGACATTTAGGAGTCCTCCTTCCTCTCCCAAATCGGCTCATTTACCGAAAGGCCACGTCGTTTCACTCGAAAATCATCGTTCTACACCGAAACCGTGGCCAGCCCGCGTAATTTGGAAGATTGCGGTAGACAGATCCAGGTCCGTCGTTTGCATTCTCTGCCTTGAATATTGATTTTTTTAGAAAACGTAGCCTAGAGGTGAGCCTGCGCTATTTTTATGCAATGTTTTACAACTTTTCCGTTCCGCTAAAATTCGCAATTCCGAAAGACTAACCAGAAATTGCTTGTTGCATGGTTTTCATTTTCTAAAAAAGTTTTTAACTCTAAAATACCCTAAAAGCGAGTCTCGGAGTAATGAAAAACGTTTTTCAGGTCGACCTCCAGGCCCTGAACAAGCGCCTCGACAAATTCGCCAAGCTTTTTCATCCCCGGAAAAGCTCATCGTTGGATTCGGCGGGGATCAGTATGGCCGAGTCGAAGGAGGTGAGTCAACCATCTTTAAAGGGACTAGGACATACAAAAATCGATCCCTCTATCGGCTAGGTCTCGAACGTAACACTACCCCAGAATAAGCTTAGACGCCAAAGGACGTCCTTGTCCAGACCATCGGTCGTTGACTCGTCGATCTTCCCGCTTTATCGAATCTCTGATCGAAACAGCGTCTAAAATTCTTTTAATTTGAAGTTTTAGCCGGACGATGAGGAGCCGGAAGCAATTTTCGAGTACGAGAGACCGGCAGGAACTGAAGCTGAAGCTGAGCTCGAGGACCTGGATGAGGATTTTCCGGAGGCGGATATGCAGATGGTTAGCAAAAATTTTTCCTTTCCGCAAAAATCTCTGCTGGATTGCCCTCCTAGCAAGCAAAAAAAATCTATTTTGATTGAGATATAGCGGGAGCTCACGAAAAATCCCGGAATTGCTTGCTAGTCGGATTCGAGGGAGTAGCAAGGCCAAGACAAAATTTCCACAATTATCGTTGCTAGCCCGCGGCTTGTAGACACGCGTTTGAAAAATCGCAAAACAGGTTCTTTAGAATTCGGTGATCATTGAAAATGCCATTCTTAATTTTCAGCTCGCCAACGCCTTGCCACACATAGAAAAGCTCGACTTTTCTCAATTATCTCCACCTCCGACGGTTGGAAGACGCATCGTCGCGTCACCGCCCAAGAAGCTAGTGCCGCAACTAATAGACGATGGTGATGACGTGGAATCAATTCTGACGCCGCCTTCAACTTCTTTTGAACAAAAGGGCAGCGCGTCGATGAGATCGGCGAGGTTTGAACTTTACTATTTTATTTTTACTCCCAATTTTTGCAAGCTATTAAAACTATGAACATATGCTTGACCTTCATCTCTCAAAAAATCATCAGCTTCAACATGCAAATTCAGGGCCCAACGTAAACTCGGGCTGATGGATACTACGGATAGAATCCTGGGTTCGCAACCAAAACCCAAGAAGCAGCTTCGAAAAGTGGAGAGCTGGATGAGGCTGCTGCCATTTCCGGAGGGGAGCACGTCGGAGAGGGAATTTCCATTGTTACGGTAAGCCAGAGAGAGAGAGAGAGAGGGAGAGAGAGAGAGAGAGATAGACGGCTAAAGAGAGAGAGAGAGAGAGCGAGCGAGAGAGACAGAGAAAGTGAGCGAGTGAGTAAGTGAGTGAGTGAGTGAGTGAGTGAGTGAGTGAGTGAGAGAGACACAAAGAGAGAGGCAGATAGAAAACATTTTTTTCAGGGTCGATGATTCTCTACTCTACCGTCGCTCCAAAACTTCCCGTGGCGTCCAGACCGAGAAAAAGACGGAGACGCGAGGCGAGCAGATTAACAGTAGACCGGATAGCGGGATAGGTGGGTAGCGGAATTTCTTGAAGGTAGAGGATACTGTAGCTTAGAGATAGAGTACGTTTTTACGGTATTTACAGAAAAATCCTCGAGTAGAGAGTGTACTTTTAGATGAACAGGATTTGGTATTAGACAACTTACAGTATCTTTCAAAAAAAGGTTTTCAGATGGCTCACCATCTAACCTACCAAAATACCCATTCGGAGGAGCTGCCGGAAGCGGACTAGTTGCGGATTAGCTTTTGATAGTTTTCTTTCGATTTGTACCGATTAACGTTTGATTTTTTGTGTTTTTTTAGAGTGTCGGGTAACCAGAATCATAAGATTTGCAGATAAATATCTTTATTTTAAAAAAGCTATCCAGTAAAGAAACGATCCAAAAAGCCAATTTGCAAAACCCACTCGATCCTAAAAACCACGGAAAAATAATTAAAAAATAATTTTCAGTAATTTGATCGGAATCAGTTTTCCTGCGTACAGCGTCCCTCTAAAACGACAGAATTCATCGACCCGTTCGTTATTAGTTGTCGGACGTACCTTAGCCTTCAAAAAATACCGTATTCAACACACTGATTTTATTAAATTTTCTCGTCCTGATAACAGATTAAAAACAAAGAATTTATCGAATTCATAGATAGAAAAAGCAAATATTCCGAGACAATACACTACATAGCAAATCAAAAAATTCCCGTTGTTTTATATGCGGGATAGCGGCTTGAAATCAATTTTCACGGGGTGTAAAGCAGAGCGTTTTTTCGAATTCAGTGGACTAATTGGAATTCCTGATTTTTGGGGCGTATTTTAGCGAGCGCCTAGCGAATGGAATGTACAGCCTTATGGAAAAATTAAAAGAAGATCTGAAAAACAAAAAAAAGGTTTTTATCCCCGCTGCGGATGACGCCTGGCCGATTTCATGTGATCGAAGAGCAGGCAGTACTGGTTGAGCTCGCTGAAAAATATATTAAAATTCGCGGTATTAGCTTGAGGCAAACTAGCAGAGATCGTTGTGGAAACCGGACTGGCTTTCCATTTGCTAGCATTTTAATGACACCTCATAGGCGGCTAACAAGGCTAACAGAGGCAGTTTTTCCACGATGCCCCAACCTCTTAAAAATCGCAGAAAGGCAGGCTAGCAGAGAGCATTTGTGGTTCCAGATTGGATCCAGAATTTCCAAATACTTAAGGACTATCTTTCTCCTTCTCTCTTTATCTATCGCTCTCACTCTCGTTCTCTCTCTCTCTCTCTCTCTCCCTCTCCCTTTCCTTTTTATGCACATCCCAAAGAACTCACGTCAATCCAGCGTTGGCAGAGCAATGGCACAAATCTCCTGCCTGATCCTTCCAGTGAATACGGTGCGTGCAGCGCTTGAAAGAGCGTTGCGCCTTCCGTTCGTCGAGCTTTGGCTGGCATCTGGAATAGATAAATTAGTTTTTGCGAAAACGACACCTGCTACGTTCCAATACGCTGCCATACGATCAAAAGTTCACAGCGCTACGGTACTGATGTTACAGTATGATAACAGTAGAATGCGCTACCGTACGCTTTAGGCCACCGTAGTACACTCCGACACTCTGAAGGGTGCGACAGTACGATTGCGTAGCCTGCGGAACACTCCAATAAGCGAAAGGACGCTAGGGTACAATGGACTACACTACGCTACACCACACTACGATGAAGCCCGCTACAGTATTTTACAGTGCAGTTGGGAATTCTGGGGTCCCCTTGACCATGGACTAGCTCCGTTCAGTACGCTACCGTACGGATGCTACAGTATGATAAATGCGCTAGAATGCGCTACCGTACGCTTTAGGACACCGCTGTACACCCGATACGCTGAAGGATGCTACAGTACGATAGCGTAGCCTGCGGAACACTCCAATACGCGAAAGGACGCTACGATACAATGGACTACATTACGCTACACTACACTATGGTAAAGCACGCTACAGTATTTTACAGTGCGCTAATACGATAAAGTACGCACGGTACGACACAATACGCGATCGTAGTATCGCGATCGAGCTCGATCCTACAAAATTAGCATAATTTATGATCTTACCCTTTCGGTCAAAGCAGAATCCATGCTTGTTCCTGCCCAAGAAGCATTCCTTCAAGCACAGTGCCCACTCGCCGGCCGAATCCAGAATGTGCTTGATGGGTGAGAGAAGAGCCTAAAAAGAAGAGTCTTTCTTCTAATGCCTTCAAATATACACGGAGCTTTCTCACTCTCTTCCTTTCTCACTCACTCTGTCTCTCACTATCTCTCTCACTCTACTCTCTAATTTCTTACATCAAGTGTCGGGTCCTTTCGCTCCAGGGCCGATTGGGCCAGCGTGAAGAGGTTTGAAATGTTCGTCTTCGGAATTTGGGGACCCATCGAGGTTTGGATGCATCTAGAATTAGTAAAAAGTAGCAGGATCTACAAAATAACGGCAACAAAAATTTTTGTAACTGAACTCAACGATGGAAAATTTGGTTAATGAATAGGTTGTTAGAAAATCGGACCTACCCGTCAACCTGATGCTCAAAACATCCCAAAAACCGCTCAATGATGTCGGCCTTGGCGTCGAAGCATGTGAAAAGTTCGTCGACACGGTCTGTCACCTAAAAGATGGATTTTTAGATTAAAAAATTACGTAATTCGATGCATTTCTCTGCAATTTTCTAAAAAATAATAAAACCTTGCTAAACCGCTCAAAACACGGCCGATTGCACTCGTTCGCCTGGCGCTTCATCTCCTCTACGCATTCGGCTTGCTCGGCGCAGGAGCACTAGAAATATTCGGTTATTTCTCTCTCACTCTCTGTCTCTCTCTCCCCTCTCTCTCTCCCTCACCTGTCTAACAGTTCCAAAGCCGGATTGCGCTTTTCGGATGATATCCGCCCCATCGCGTGAGATCTGAAAAAATTATTTTTCGCTTTTCTGTGTATTTAGGCATCGATTTTCTTAATGTACATTAAGCTACAAGTTCCACCCTTTTCGGTGCAACCTTGTCCCCCTTATCAACAGTCCCTTGCGCCGCCGAAAATACCATAGCTGCTTGTTGACCACCCCATTTCCGCCAGCTTATGTCGAAATCCTTCCGTCTCACCCCTCTCTCTCTCTCTCTCTCTCTCTCTCTCTCTCTCTCTCTCTCTCTGTCTCTCTCTCTCATCTGTTTTCTATTTTTCGCTGCTTTTTGGGCGGATCAGAAGCGTCACACTGTCTCTCGTCTACCTCCTCCCCATCCCGCATATACAGGGCAGAGAAATTGATACCGTGAGCATGAAAAAGTTCCGGCGATCCGGGGGGATATTGACGATTTGTGTTGATGGTTCGGGTTATACCTATCGACGGGATTGTCATCCTATTTATGATGGGTACAATGTGCGTGTTTTAAAGGGAGAGAGAAGCCAGTAGAAACGGCGATGAATTTAACTTGAGGGCCAATGCACTAACAGGCGGTTAACGGGTCAGGGTTTGTTTTGTTCACAAAAGCTCCAAAGTAGAAGATTCCAGATATCGTAATGATAACTATGACCAGCTAGAAAGCGACAGCTACGCGCTACACCAAAATCCACCCAGAAAGAGCCCGAATTTTTTGTGACATTTTTGTCCCCTGCTTTCCATGATGCCTCAAAATGCCGTCAAATCGTCCATTTTTATTGGTGCCGTAGATAGTTGTTTAACGTACAAAATGAAAGGTAGCCTAATGCATTAAATAACGAATTACGTGCGGGAATTCGAAAAAAGTAGATCTTACGAGGTATTTTTTAGCGTAAATTTTTAGGTTTTTAGCGATTTTTGGCTTCAAAACGCGATTATCCTGTCCCTGCCCCTTTAGAACAATTTAAAGGAACTCAGAAGCCAGATTTCCACATTTTCTATGACAAGATGATTCGTTGTCGATCCGTTAATGTCCTTAAAAAACCCATACCGATCCAACCAGCGATTCCGCGTCTGCAGCAAGTCCTACGGCCACGAATCCCGCAAAATAAAATAGTAGCAGCATTTAGAATCCGGGGACTACGGTAGAATACGGTAGAATGCGGTAGCCCGGGGCAACCTTTAGAAAACGAGCCCCAAATACGGCCGGGACAGGAAGAAGAGCACGAGAAGGAGGAGGAGCTTTGGCTGTTTGTGGCAGCTGAGCCCCGGCAAAAGTAGGTGGTAGAGGTGAATCGGCAGTGGGCAGGCAGGGATGGCGAACTGAGGAGGAGCCCGAGAAGGACTATCGCAGAGAACGTCAAGAGTTGTGGGATGGAAAAATCCCAGCCGGACCCGGGTAGAAATGGGAGAAAATCCCTGGCCGTCCTGCACAATTTGTCCAGCGCAAGACACGAAAAAAGATACGAAATCGCCAACCTCGTTTGATGCGTCATTTGGAGTGTCGAGTCGTGTGTCCGTTGTTCGATCCGGAGGGGAGCAAGAGGCCGAGCAAGAGGGTGATACTCTCTGTTTTGTGACCGCAAAGAGGAGCCGCGCGTAATTTGGGGTATTTTTAGGGGAACGCGCGTGATTTTAGACGCCCTCGCGCCGGATAGTTAGTTGATGGTAATCGTTTTTTTGTGTAGTAGGGAAACCGGGCCAATTATGAGGGAAGAACGGAAATATGGAAAATGTCGACAAACGAGATAAATTCATTTTTAAACGACCAAGATAGCAAAATCGATTGATACACAGAATGCCGACAGACGATATGGCAGAATCGAGGATGTCGACAGCGAAAACGCCGAAATTGAGGATGCCGGCCTCCAAAATGCCGACAACTCAAAGACAGGTAGCTAAAATCCCGACAGTCAAAATGCCAACAATCAGAATGTCGAGAATTTAAACACCAAGAACCAAGGTGCCGGTATTTTTTCACGATTGATAGCCTAAATGCCGACAGCCCAAATACCGAGAAACCCAAGTCCCAACAAAATACCGACATTCTGGCCTAATTACATGCAAAAACAGACCTGTCGTTGTCGGCATTTTTGCGGTCGGCATTTTGGCTTCACGGCACTTTATCGTGCCGTGCCAATCTATGCACTACAGACTACAGACTACAGGTTACAACAGACTGCAACGACTCATTTCGGCATCCACACGCGACCAAAAACAAATTTCGATCCCCTTTCTCGGTGGATCTCTCATTCTACCAACCTGCCCCGGGTTGCATCTGTGATTTGTGTTTTAGGCTTTCAAGGACAATTCGGGTTGGTGGGTGCACGGTTTGGCACGAAAGTGCACACGAAACTTCACGCCAAATTGGAGCACATTAGCGCCTGAATGGTCACTTCAACGTTTTTGTTGTACCGGGTTTGCGATGGGAATTGGCAACGTCGTAACGAAACGTGTCGTAACGTATCATAACGTAGCTTGCAGCGTTCTATCCTCATTGTTGGAAGTGTAGTGTATCGCAGCGTATTCAAGGGCAACGTAGGTAGCGCATTTTGCCGTAGCGTACTGTATCGTAGCGTACTCTATGCTAACGTGAACTGTCTTAACGCATGACAACGCAACGTAGCGTAGCGTAACCTATAGAATTATGGACTACCGGATTTGAGAGTTAGTACCGTAACGTACAGGGCCGTAACGGAAGGTGGGGTCGAAGACTGTACCATACCGTAGTTATTGATACTTAAGGTACCGTAACAAACGGTAGCGTAGCGTCTAGTAGCGCAGCCCAGTTTTTTGTACCGTCCTGTGTATTGCAGCGTAGCGTAGGGACGCTAGCATACGGACCTGACGAATTTAACTTCCAAGTCTGTTTAATGTCCAAAACGTTGTTTGTGTCGTTTCAGAAATCATTTTTCCAGTTCCGCGATCGACACGTCACCTTGAACTTCCTGCAAGTATAAGGGAGCCCAGCGGAACTCTACTCCCCCCGCCGTTCGAACAACAAAATCACCGATCACCCGCCTTTTTAGGTGGTGAAAATTGGGGTAAACAAGATGCTGATCGAGGCACTGGCTGGAAGATACAAATTGATGATCGACGGATGTTTATGCCGAGAAATCGCCCCCCACCCGATAGATATCATTCCGATCCGCCACTTTGTACACCCACCGTCCATGGTGAGACGCTGCCTACACTTCCAGTCTCTTCAGTTTTTATAGGATTTTCGGAAAAATTGTTGGCTTTAGATCTTGAAATTTGTTGAGTTGCGAAGTTTGGTTGATTGAAAGCGCGTCTTTCATATTTTGAAAGGCTACACACTACAGCCGATACTTAACTTGGCAAAAGTGCAAAAACTACGAAATAATTAGTTTTGCCAATCAAATATCGGTAAAACATTACTTTGCACCGCCCCAGCTATAGGTTCAGAAATATTTTTTTGCTATAACTCTTTTTATTTGACATTGTTTTAGGCTGCAATTAAATTTTTTAGTATATTTTTTGATGCTCTATCGAATGGCGGTGCGAAAATCCGAACAAAATAGCGCAATGTCGAAAAATTTAAGGACCTCTGGGTTGAGGGGAGTGGTGAGGTAAGGTCTACCCAAAATATATGCAATCAAATTGGTTAAAAAACTATACATAAAAAGATAAATTCCATCTGAGGCCGTCGTAAATACAGGGTGGCCCGAAAGAGTGGTGACCGCAGCTTGCACACAGAATTTCTCTGTTCCCTTATGGGTTTGGGCAAGGCGGTGTTATGGATTCTGTTTCCTATAGATGTTGGCTAAATTTGAGCATACGCTCAGCGCACAACGCAGTCTAGCTTTTACATTAGGAATTTAATTCCATAATTCAAAGTCATGGATTTTTTGAAATCGACAAAATCTAAAATAAATTCCTGTGGAAGAAATACTTAACGATGCCTTTTCCATCTCTTTAACGAGCTGCCTGACGTTTCCGGTGAAGCTCGTGGTGCAGCTATGGCTCAGTGCCCTCCAACTTGGTCAAGTGACTGAGGCCCGTTATTAAGGGTTTGACCAAACCGTTTTTTGCTCGCCAAAGAGCGATCCTGCAGCCCCAACCCGAACCCGCAGAATTTTTTGTGTAGCCGGTCTGCAAGGCCAAAGTGTTGGCTACCTCTCGATTGAATTTTGGGTTCGCTCGCGAAAGTCTTCATCGAGTTATGAGCCAAATTCGGCTGAGTGTCTGCGTGCCAGCACCTCCGTTTTCCATCCGCTTCCGCGCCAGTTTTTCCGAGTTTGAGACAAACAAATAAAAAAATGGTTATGCCATGTGGAAGATAATTATTTAAGGAATATAATGTGCTAAAATGAGCTTTCCTCGATCTATAGTTTTTCAGAAAATCGAAAAGTTTCGGTCACCACTCTTCGGGCCACCCTGTAATAGTGAAAAAGTCAATAGTAAATTTATATATTAGCGTACTTAATTTTTTGTAAATAGCTCGCTTTCAGAGCCTCTAACATACTCTAGAGTTCAAAGTCTGGCTTCTTGAATCCGGTCTAAAGTACAAACGGAGTTCAAGGAGCCGCAAAGGCACTTTTTGGAGCTTGAATTGAGCGCATTCTGAAATCTTGCTGCCTCTTCAAACCCTGAAGACCGTTTTTGAAAAAGCGCAAAACTCTGAAGCATTTGGAGCGTAATTTTCAGAGACATTTTTGCAAGGATATCAGGATGATAAATCGTCCGTTTTTAATCCTCTTTGGGCTTTTGGATGAGAATAGACAGAAAAATCAGAGGTCACGTGTTCAATTCCCACCTCCGCTTTTTCGCCATCCTTTCTGTCTTTCTGTCTTTCTGTCATTGTGTGTCGTCTTGCTGCTGCTGTCTGATAAGATATAAGACGCTCATTTTGGGCCCCCAAGGCCCTTTTTGCCCTAATTCCCCCCTTGATATTGTTTCACTCATTCTCAGACAGGTTTATTACCTATCGAACTAAATACAGAAATTTTCGGAAATTTGGAAGTTATATCGATTAAAATTTAATTTTTGCCGTTTTTAAAATTAATTTTTAGCAAATTTCTGCCTCTTTCTTAGGCTTGGCTTTGGCTTAGCTTAGGCCTAGTTTCGGCTTAGTTTCGGCTTATTGGTTTATTTTAAAGCGTGCATAAATTTCATAACTTCCTATTAACGCGAAATCATTTTCTATGCTTTTTAGGACCGGTGCATTAATAGACGTTAAAATTTTATCCTAGAAATCAAAAAACACTGCAGAAAAATCAAGGTTGTTTACCATTCAGAATGTAGCAACTTTTTTTGCTTTTCCGACACTTCTCTCGCTCTCTCTCTATAGCTCCTCTCTCTCTCTCTCGCTCTCTCTCTCTCTCTCTCTCTCTCGCATTTTGCTGTTTCATGATCCTCGAACGTCAACACCAATTCCGGTTATTTTTTGGGAGGTCCGTTCTCCGGTAAAAGTGCGTATTACCAGATTTCATTACCTAGGGTTGCTATCCAGCCGATTATAGTATTTTCTTTTCCTGATTATTAATTTTAATTCATATAACACTGATCAAAAGAAGCATCAAGCTAGATACTTTTTGGCCGTAAAACGTGACTAAAATCCGACCGACCCACCTGCAGGGAAGCCATGCTGACCCTGGGAAATCGGATTATTTTCTTCTTTTTTTTTGCAGAATACTCCCAATCACATTTTCATTGATGACACTGGCTTCTCTTTTTCGTGAAACTTCTTAATTGCGTTTTAATGCAATAACCGGTATTTTCAGAAAATGGTTCTACTACCTCCTAAAAAGAGACATACGAAAAAGGGATCGGAGAGCAGCTCGCACGATTCGGGTAAGACAGTCACTGATTCTCGTTCCTCTCTCTCTCTCTCTCTCTCTCTCTCTCTCTCTCTCTCCCTCTCCCTTCTCTCTCTCTCTCTGACTCTCTCTTTCTCTCTCCTTCTCTCTCCAACTATCACTGTCTCGCTCTCTCTATCGCTTTAATTCATAATTAGCATATTTTCAGGCCAAGACAGCCCCTCAAACCATAAAATTCGGGCTCATCGCCGCGGTTCTGTCGAAGTAGACGAGCCAGAAAATTACGACAGAGATGCCCTCGTTTTTTACGTGAATGGAAGAAGAGTTGTGGATGGTGAAGTTGACCCGAGGACTACGCTTGTAACCTATTTACGCGATCATTGTAAGTGGTAATGGACTAAATTCTGCATCTTTCTCTCACTCTCCCTTTCTCTGTCTCTCCTCCTCTATCTTTCTCTCAAGCGAAAAAATAACATTTTTTTCTGGGCAAATTCCAATTTCTCCCCCTTCGAAAAACGCCATCAAAGCATTTCAAGGTTTTCCGAATTTTAATGCTGCCCTAATCGGATCGGGTGGGAGAGGAACTCGGCCTCATTTTATCTTGATAAGGGCCCCCTATCAGGGCTGTAAACACTTTCAGAACACTATGTAGACATCGGGCACCGCAAAAAATCAAGAGTTCAGACTCCAAAAAAGCGGCGAACCATGTGGGGCCGGCTAGCAGAGATGATTTGGGAATTTGGCGAAACGGTGGCTCTCTCTTATCGTTTCATAATCCCGACAAAAAAAGAATCCCGGCACCCAAAATACCGACAGCCCAAATCCTGACACCGAAAACATCAAAACAACAGCGAAAATCCCGACGCCAAATCGCTGACAGCCAAAAATGCCGACACAACATTGACGCTAACCTGAATTCCGCTGCCTCAAACGACCTATTTTGCATGTCGGGATTTTGTCCGCTGTCATTTGGCTGTCGGTATTTTGGCGCGAAGATGGATTTCGGTGTTTTGGCTTTCGAAATTTTTTGTCGGTATTTTGGCTGTCGTAATTCTGGCGGTTGCTCCCCTCTAACCAATTCTTATGAGACGTCGATATTCGAAATTTTGAACTTACTAGAAAATTTCGACATCAGGAAATTTCCAATACCGAACTTTAGAAATTTTAAATTCGGCTTTTTTTGAAACTGATTTGTTTTCCATTTCTATACTTTTAGTACGCCTAACCGGCACGAAAATCGGATGCAACGAGGGTGGATGCGGCGCGTGTACCGTCATGATTTCGGAGGTTGACCCGATATCCGGAGAGATACGGTAAGGTCCTGGATTACGGTAGATTCAGCCGGTTTTAGGCACTTCTCAGCAAATTCCTGCCTAATGCCTGTCTGCGGAGTTTTTGGGAAAGCCGTAACAACTTGCGAAGGAATCCAAGGGGCCGAAGGACGACTGCATCCCGTCCAGGAGCGGTTGAGCAAGTACGTACATAGGTGTAACGTGGAATTTAAGGGACTGGAAAGCCAGATTTAATTCAGAAACGATAGCTTATTTCAATATAATCAATTAATCACCTTAGCATGCATTTTATTGTTTTTACTGGACTCTAAAATTATTTATTGGGGCTAAAAACCTATTTTTATTTAATAGAAATTAGTAGAAACAATCGGAAAGGAAAAAATTATCAAAATCTTGTTTTTTAGATGCCACGGCTCCCAGTGTGGCTACTGTACCCCGGGTTTCATCATGGCCATGTACAGCTTGCTGAGAAACAACCCGAAACCGTCGAGGGAAGATGTGGATCTGGCCATTCAAGGTTACCTGATTTTTGAGCAGATACTTTGTTTTAAAGCCAAAATCAAATTTTTTCGAAGAATACCAGATTTATCGATTTCACAAGAATTAAGGAACTTTGTTCGACGAAAACCGGTTTTTTTTTTCAGGAAACTTGTGCCGCTGCACCGGTTATCGCCCAATCCTGGAGGCGTTCTACAGTTTTGCCGATGAGAATGGCGATGTAAAAGTACGGATTTTTATCCCTCTCTGCCTTTCTCTCTCTCTCTCTCTCTCTCTCTCTCTCTCTCCTCTTCTTTTTTTTCTTCGCCGCTTCAAAACTAGCGCAAAAAAAGCATTTTTAGATCACCGAATCCGGATGCGCTATGGGCGATAAATGCTGTAAGAAGGGTGGAGATGGATGTGGAGGGGATCGAAAAACGGTATGGGTGCTGTGGAACGCATGATTAATTAATGCAATTACATTTTTCTACCTATTCAAGGCATTTTTTCATCTTTCAGTTCATCAAGCTCTCTGATTTGTCGAGTTGCGCCAAGTTTGACCCCAGCCAAGAGCTGATCTTCCCGCCAGAGCTCAAGGTTCGTATTGGAAGAAAGAGAGAGAGAGAGAGAGAGAGAGAGAGAGAGAGAAAGAGAGAGAGTGAGTGAGAGAGATATAATCGTAATTTTTCTAGCTGAAAAACTTTCACCAACAATCCCTCCTCCTCGACCACAATGGCCACCGCTGGTTCCAGCCAACTGCTTACGACATGTTATTGGCCCTCAAGAGGTTGAGCTTGAATCGTTCCCTCCTATCCTACTCTCTCTCTCTCTCTCTCTCTCTCTCTCTCTCTCTCGTTCTCTCTCACTCTCTCGCTGGACGAAACTATTTTTTTCAGAAAACACCCACACGCCCGTGTCATTTCCGGAAATTCGGAATTAGCGGTGGAGCTGAAATTCCGCTTCATTCCTCTCGACATTGTCATCAATCCGAGACAGGTAGGGAAATTTAGTGATACAGAGAGAGAGAGAGAAGGAGAGAGAGAGAGAGAGAGGGGAGAGACGGGACAAAGAGTAAACAACGGGGACAGCAATTTCCAGGTCCCTGAGCTGCACGAACATCGCCTAACGGAATTCGGAGCATACCTCGGCACCGGTCTATCTTTGACTCAGATGGAAGATGCGCTTCGGGCTTATTCAAAGGAGCTACCAGGTGGGGGAAGCTAACCGCATCAATAGACAAGGCATTAAAGGGCGGATGCAGCATTTTTAAAGCTAATAAAACTGACTTGTTAAATTACCGGGTAGGCAAAGCCTGGTCTTAGCTGTCTTTTCAATGGGCAAACTGGCAGAGATCATTGAGGAGCTCAACTACAGATTGTCCATTTTGCTACGTATTTTCCAGAATCGAAATGCCGAGTATTCAAGGCGGTCAACGACATGCTGCACTGGTTCGCCGGACGACATGTCAGGAATGTGGCGGTGAGTGGTACGAAAATCAATGCGAGGCAGGCTAGCGACGAGCCTTTGGGAAACCGGTAGAAGGCAGGCTAGCAGAGATCCTTTGCCTAGCGAGGAGCACGAGATAGACAGAAAAGGCATGCTAGCACAGATCTTTAGAAAACGGTGAATGGCAGGCTAGCAGAGACGATTTTATGACCATTAAAATTCAGCGAAGGCAGGAGCGAAGCAGGGATTTTTCACGAATCAGAGAAGGGCGTGCTAGCAGAATCCTTGAGGAAATTGCAAAGCAGCTGATCGTGAGCTCCGTTTTTCCAGAGTGTCGCCGGAAACATTGCCACCGCTTCTCCAATTTCCGATTTGAACCCGATTTGGATGGCCTCCAGGTCCCAAGTCGTGCTCGAATCGGAGGAACGCGGGATCCGGACCCTTCCTATCGACGAGAAATTCTTTATTGGATACCGGAAGACGGTGATTCAAGGTGATGAAGTGGTGAAGGCGGTCATTGTGCCGTTTTCTGATGAGGTGAGTCAAGAGAAGAAAGAGAGAGAGAGAGTGACAGCGCGCGAGAGAGTGAGAGACAGAGCGACAACTAAGGCCCAAGTTTCTCCGCTTCAGAATGAGCACTTTTATGCCTACAAACTTGCTCAACGACGAGAAGACGATATTGCCATCGTCACGGGCGCGTTCAGGTGAGTTACAGTAACCTTTTAAAGGAACTGGAAGGTAACATTTACGGTCAGTTTTTAGAGCAAAAGTTAACCCGGCCACGCATGTTGTCGAAGATATTGGAATCTCCTACGGTGGAATGGATATTTTCACGAAATTGGCGCTAAAGACGATGGCGCATTTGAAGGGAAAGTGAGTGGAGAGGAGAGAAAGAGAGAGAGAGAGAGAGAGAGAGAGAGAGAGAGAGAGAGGAAGAGAAAAAGAAAAAGGACTTATCTGGAAATTCTCAGAAAATGGAATAAAGCACTGCTGGACGAAGGCATCGACTCGATTTCCAAGGAATTCGCGCTGAAGCCCGATGTCCCGGGTGGAATGCCGAGGCAAGTGGATTTAACGTATATTTTAATTTTTTCGTGACTTGACGTTAAAATTAATGTTTTTTAGATTTCGACAAGCCTTGACCCTCTCCTTCTTCCTAAAATTTTTCCTACAAGTCGCTAAGAATTTGGAGGTACGTCTCTACCGGCTTTCTCTCGCTCTCTCGCTCTCTCTCTCTCTCTCGCTCTCTCGCCCACTCTCGCTCTCAAAAACCGTAGTTTTCAGATCGACGTCGAGCACGCAGATCAAAAAACCCTGATCGGCGACACGATCAGCCAATCCCTGGAAGCTACGCAGTTATATCAAGTCCTTAAATTCCGGGCTACAGTATAATGTGTGCATTTTAGGAAGTACCAGATGGACAACCCGTCCATGACCCAGTTGGACGGCCGATTCAGCATGTTAGCGGGGAGAAGCATACTACTGGAGAAGCCATGTACACCACTGATGTTAATATTGCAGGTAAGTGGAGTTTTTCTCGTGCTCATTTTATCTCTCTTTCTTTCCCGCTCTCTCTCTCTTCAAAAATTTAATTTCAGGACTTCTGCACGCTGCCCTCGTCTTGGCCCCAATCGCCCACGGTACCATCGATAGCGTTGACGCCACAAAAGTGAGCTTTCTGCTTTTTTTTATCTCCCGCGCTTTCTCTTTCGCTCTCTCGCTCTCTCGACATCTCTCTTTCTCTCTAACTTTTCTTTTCTCCAGTTGTTACTCTCGTGTAGTTGTTACTCGGTGTTTTGTAATTTTCAATAACTTAACACCACAATGTACAATTGCTTGCAGTTGGCTTGCTTGCTGCTTTAAAATACAAAAATCGATTGCCTATTAGATGTAATCAAAAAATTTTAAGGCTCTCGAAATCGATGGTGTCGTCGCTTACTTTGATCATTCCGACCTGCCGACCGACCGGTTAATGGGACACCACGACGATACGCTGGTGTTCGCGAAAGATGAGGTTTGTGTTAGCTTTGAAAGAGCTTGCTTTGGTGGTATTCTTAGGTTAAAATCCTTGTATTAACTGGACAGAATCTAGTAAGTCGTTAGAAAACTTTTTAGGTGACCTACCACTGCCAACCGATCGGTATCATCGTCGCGCGCGACCACGAGACGGCCCGTCGAGGAGCCAACGCCGTACAAGTACAATGTACAGCCGGGAAGCCGATTGTTACTGTAGAGGTGGGATGCTGTCGAATGCGTTTCGGATACGAGAAAATACGTAAACTGGCGAATCGCGGAATCGATAGCAAAATCCTCTAAAAATCGCATTTTTCCCAACTTTTCGAATTTTGTTGGGACCTATTTTGAGACTTTTCTATTTTTTCCGGTATTTTGCATGTTTAAAACGTAGTATTATTATGCCAATGTCTAAAACTAAAATCTCTCGGATCGGTATTGTCCCAGAAAATCGCTTTTTCCGAATTTTTACATGTTTTGGGATGGTTTTGCGATTTTTCTGGAATTTTTGGCTAGTTGCATATATCGCAACGGCCTATTAATGCGTCGGCAGATACAAGATACGATTTTCTATCTTTAGGAAGCAATAGAAGCAAACAGCTGGACCGGCCAGCCCTTCCAAGTTCACTCCCAGTTGAGTGAGGGCAAGCCGGAGTGGAAAATGAATGACTGGTGGGTTGATTGACTTCAATGGCCCTTTAGAAAGCGGTTTTCAGGACCCAATATAAACGAATTGTCGAAGGAACCATCAAAATGGGCGGCCAGGAACATTTCTATTTCGAGACGCATAACTGCATCGCGATTCCGAATGAGGATCGGGGAATTGATATGATCGTCAGCACGCAGGGCGTGAATGACGTTCAGGTTGGAATTTGGGTCTCTCTCTCTCACTCTCACTCTCTCTTTCCCTCTCACTCACTCTCACTCTCTCACTCTCACTCTCTTTCCCTTTCTCTCACTCTCTCACTCTCTCTCACTCTCTCACTCTCTCTCACTCTCCCTCACTCTCTCTCGTTCTCTTTTTCTGTCTCTTTCACTCTGTTTCTCTCTCGATTTTTATCGAACAAAATTTCGCTTTACATTCTCTTCGCGATTTTAACTATTACTATTAAATCGTAATCTTGGTTATTTTTAGATCGAAGTCTCAAAAATCCTCAACATTCCCCGGAATCGCGTCAATATCCGCGTGAAGCGAGTCGGTGGCGGTTTTGGTGGAAAGGAGTCGACCAATTCGCTCTCTGCTGTCCCATGCGCGTTGGCTGCGCTGAAGTTTGTGATTTTACGTTTAGTATTAAACGTCAAAAATGCCAAAAATTACTTAGAAAAAGAATTTCAGGCTTCAAGCTCCGGTAAAATTGTACCTCGAGCGATTCGATGATATGGCCATCACTGGGCATCGCCATCCGTTTAATTTCAATTATAAGGTTAGAATTTGCAGGGAATTGCCTTTTAAAGGAACTAGGAAAGCAAAATCCATAGCCCTAGCTATCGGGGAGGCTCAGGAAAGTAAGTGATAGCTAAAAAAAATAAATAAAAAATTGGATTTTTCTGCAAATCCGAAGGTTGAGCGAATTCCTAAATTTTTTCTTTTGTTTCTGCCTTCCCATTCCCCAGAAAAGGTGCAAATTTTCAGGTAGCGCTCTCTGAGGAAGGAAAATTGCTGGATTACGAAGTGACCGCATTTGCCAACGGCGGCCATACGCTGGATTTGAGTGCTGGAGTTTTGAGTGAGTTGTTGGAAGCTATGCAGCGACTCGCACTCTCTCTCTGCGTCTCTCTCTCTCCCTCTCTTCCTCTCTCTTTCTCTCAACGTCCGTCTCGCTCGCTCGCTCTATCTCTTTCTCTAACACTCACTTAAATTTCAAATTTTTTAGCACGAGCAATGGTTCACATCGACAATGTATACAAATTCGGGAACGCGCATATTTATGGCCGGATTTGCCGCACGAATACGGCTTCAAATACGGCTTTTCGAGGATTTGGAGGCCCACAGGGCATGTTCTGCACCGAGACACTGATGAAACACATTGCCGAGACGTACGACTTGGATGTTGATGAGGTTAGCGTTGATCTCGCTTGATCTCTCTTGCTCTATTTTTCTGGCTCGGCCTGGCTCTCTCGCTCTCTCATCTCTCGATCTCGTTCTTTTACTGATCTATCGCCACCTTTCAGCTCCGCGAGAAAAATCTCTACAAAGAGGGCGAAATGACACCATTCGGGATGCATCTTCGAAAATGCAACGCAAAAAGAACGTGGGATGAGTGCAGAGAATTCAGCAGATACGACGAGCGGAAACGGATGGTTGCGGAATTCAACAAGCGCGTTTTTGGAATGTTCAACTTTCAGGAAACAGACCGTAATTAAGGAAAACGAAAAATTACTTAAAAGCATACTTATTCGATTTTTAAATTTATTTTCTATTTTTTTGACTTATATTGATTGCTCTGCCGAGAAAAATGTTTTTTTTTCAGGCAAAATCGCTTCCGGAAGCGCGGCATCTACGTGATGCCCACCAAGTTTGGCATCGGTTTCGGGCTGAAATTCATGAACCAGGTAAGCAATAGAGCGAGAGAGAGAGAGAGAGAGAGAGAGAGAGAGAGAAAGAAAGAGGGAAAGAGAGAGATCGAGTTTTGCGTTTGTGAAGAAACCACATTTCCAGGCGTCCGCGCTTGTTCTCGTGTACACCGATGGGTCGGTGCTGATCTCGCATGGTGGTATGGAGATGGGCCAGGGATTGCATACAAAGATTTTACAGGTACTTTCTGAATTTTAGAAATGTCACGATTGTTTCAGATCGCGGCTCGGTGTCTGGACATCCCAATCGACTTGATTCACATCGAGGAGACGGCCACGGATAAGGTACGGTATTTTTGGTCAACGCAATTGGCTAAAATAATATGTATAATCAAGAATTCATCAAATAACCCGGCATTTTGCATATCAGTCTGTTTCTCTGTCTCCCTCGCTCTCTCGCTCTCTATCTCTCTCACTTCTTTTCTCACTCTCTTTCCCTCCTTTATTGCGATATAATTTCAGGTCCCGAACGCCTCCCCGACAGCGGCCAGTGTTGGCTCGGATCTGTGCGGAGTTGCAGTCCAAAACGCTTGCGACCAGTTGACGGAACGGCTAAAGCCCTACAAGGAGAAGCTGTCCGACAAAACATGGAAAGAATGGGTGGCAGCGGCGTATATGGATCGAGTGTCGCTGTCGGCATCTGGATTTGGGATGTGGGGTTTTAGAAAAATGATCACTAAAAAAATTGATGCTGAAGAGAGAGAGAGAGAGAGAGAGAGAGAGAGAGAGGGAGAGAGAGAGTGTATGTGTGTCAGACAGTGAGAGAGTGTCAAACAGTGAGAGAGTGAGAAAGAGTGAGAGAGAGTGAGCGAATGAGTGACCGGGAGAGGGAGAGAGAGAGAGAGAGAGAGAGAGAGAGAGAGAGAGAGAGAGAGAGAGAGAGAGAGAGAGAGAGAGAGAGTCCAATTCCAGAATTCACAACGAGCCGGTCGACTTTTTTAATGGAAAGGGAGCGGAATTATTTGGATACTGTGTCTACGGGACGGCTTGTTGCGAGGTGGAAGTGGATTGTTTGACTGGAGATCACAGGGTGGGTCAAGAATTTTTATTTAAAGGGACTGAGATGGCAGTCGAAAAACGGGCTTTTACCGGGCAGAACCCCGCATAATTACGTTTAGCTCCTCTCTACGCACATTGTAATGGACATTGGAGACTCGTTGAATCCTGCCATCGACATAGGCCAAATCGAGGGCGCTTTTATCCAGGGCTACGGATTGTTCACGATGGAAGAAATCAGGGTTCGACCAAATGGAATGCGATTGACAAGAGGTAAAAACCGGAAGTTCTGATTTTTGAAGTTAGGCAGGCTAGCAAAGATCCCTGGAGAATGCTAAGACTGACTTTGAAAGCTCCAAAAATTTAAGCTTGATTCTCAGCGCAGGGCAGTTTCAAAGGACCATCGAAGACGTTAGCTGCCCGTTTTCAGGCCCCGGCAACTACAAAATCCCGTCGGCTGATGACGTGCCTAGGGACTTCCACGTGGCCCTTCTGAAGGGCTCCTCCAACCCGTCGGCCATTTTCGCCAGCAAAGCCGTGGGAGAGCCACCGCTATTCCTGGGCGCTACCGTATTCTTCGCCGTTCGGGAGGCCATCCGAGCGTATCGCATTCAGAATGTAGGTGGAAAAACCTAACCATACATCGAAATTACTCGAAATCCCGAAAAAATCCGATTTTTTAAAATTATATTTTCCTTAAAATCGACAAATTTCTCTTTTTTTGGTGATAAAATGAGTCATTTTAACGCACAATGTTTCAGGGTAAGCAAGGCTACTTCCGCTTCGACTCCCCAGCGACGCCAGAGGCCATTCGAATGGCGTGCGAGGACGAATATTTGGAAAAGGTATCAAAGTTCCAAATCTTACGAGTTACGCGCTTTTAAAGTCAACTTATTTCTGAAGGTTTCAATTTGAAAACAGTTACCGAATTTCAGATCCCCTCCCTACCGGAAGCCGGCACCTTCACCCCGTGGACCGTTCCCCTCTAAACTGTCGGACAGTTGCAGAGCTTGCTATTTATTTGAATAAAGAATTCTATGCTAGAAAATGAGCATTTCTGCTAGAAAATTATAGATTAAATAGCGTAAATTGGGTTTTGGTACTTTTTTACGGGTAAAATCGGAAAACGAGAGAAAGCGAGTGCGAGAGAGTGAAAGTGAGAAAGAGAGAGAGATAGAGCCAGAATGCTACAAAGAGAGGGAGAGAAAGGGAGAGAGACAGTGAGTGAGAGAGACAGACCATTTCATGATATTTAGATTCTTTATCTGCACTTTTAAAGCCATATTCGATACGCTGAAGACGTAAAATATCTAAAACAAGGTAACGGTCGGATGTTGCCATGCTTTTTCCAACGCTTCCTTCGGGAAATCAATGTACAGCGGAGCGTCGCGTAGTCCCCAAAGAGTACGGGCTGAAAAATGTGTCTCTCTCTCTCTCTCCCTCTCTCTCTCTCTCGCCTCTCTCTCTCTCTCTCCCTCTCTCTTTCTCTCCCTTTCGTTCTCTCTCGCTCTCTCTCACTCTATCTCTCTCTCTCTAGCTCTCTCTCTCGCATACCATTCCTTCTGAAATCCCTCCTCTCAGTCACTCCCTCATCATCAATCTCGACGTAATTCCACCGGCTTGTATCGAGCGGCTCGGTTGCGGGTGCAATCCTAAAAACGCTTTACCGTAGCCAAGCCGAATCGAAGGCATGCTAGCATAGACTGCTTAGGAAAGTAAAATATGAACTCACCCCCTCACGAAATCCGTCCACAACCTGGCCATCTCCCGGCCGGCCATCCCTCCTTTTCTTCCGAATAATAGAGATAGATCATCGCCATGCAGGACGGCTAAAATGGATGGATTATGGTAGGTAAATTGGGTTTTTCGAACGACTTTAAATATCACCTGTAACACCTGAAAAGCAAAAAAAAACAGAAAAACGGGATTCGAGAGACGAAATTTTCGATTTATGCTCAAAATTCCGCTAATTCCACTTATTACGGCCATAAAATAAGCTGTCGCTCTGGGACCCACGTTTGTAACCGTCAATAAGAAATGAAGAAGCCGGCTGCGTGAATTCGTAGAGGTACACATTGGCGCCAAGTTTTTGATAGTAGAGGGCTTCTCGTATGGCCCTTGAGGCAAAGAAGGCGTCTGTCAATACCTAGAAATTCCGGAAATTTGGTTATCAACCTTAAAGGGGCCAGGAAGCGCCAGAATCTACCCCTCAATCCACTAGGTCTCGTCAGCCGACGTCAAGATACCTTCTCACCAATTGAACTTCGTTGGAAAATCCCGTGTTTTTTTGCTAATTTGCCGAGCGGTTTGTTGACGAGACCTAGTGGACGTAAGGGTCGATTTTGGCTTTCAAGCCATTTTAAAGGTACAGTGACAGCAAAAAGCTTACATCAATCGTCGTCTCGACCCAAGAAGAAACATTAGGATTCATCGCCGAGAATCCATAGCCATCCACCATTTTTCTCATTTTTGAGGTAATTTCGTTCCGAGGGTAGGCGAACGCGAGAATCTAAAGCAAGGTTGATAAAGCCTGATGTTTCAAATTCTGGGCATTAAATTTTACATCTGCTTTGAGCTAACCTTTGATACAAACTTCACCACCATCCGCCAATTGTAGATGGCGGGGTCGAGCGCTTTCACGCCGTCCAGCATTAGCTTCAGCTCTACAGATAAATTTTAAGGTATTTTTTTTGCGTCTCCCTACCAAAAGCCGCCCACTCGTCCCGGGTAACACCCAGAAAAACTTCTAGCGGTTTCGAGGAGTTCTGGGTCGAGTTCAAGTTTTCGGCCATCACCCTTGGCACGTCTTCGAACAGTTCGCCGTCGACGACCAACGGCCAGCCGAGGAAGTTTTTCTAAACGAAATTATATTTTTAGGCCAGCAGAAATTGTCTGAGAAACCCCTATAGCGTCGTCGCCATCGCGTAGCTACCGTACCTGGTCGAAATGCTCCAGGACATCGTCAATTTCCCTGTATTCCATGTAGCTCTCCACTTCATCCAGCTCGGATTGCGTCAGATTTTTTGCGTGGATATCCGTGTAGGTGGCCTAGACGGGAATTATTAGGCCCTTAAATTTGTTTATAATTGCCGATCCCTCTATTTTTCTAATGTTGTTTTAGAATCTAGCCAAGCAAGCTGGGAACCAGCCGGGTTCTCACGTATTGCCTCGGTAACGCCTCAGCAAAAAATGGCTATGGTGGCGATACCATCTCCTGCTAGCCCCTGTGTGAAACTTGAGCTTTTACAGATCCAAGGCTCAAGGTGGCTATCAAACTTCCAGGCTTAGGATACAGTACGCTTAAAAACGGTACGCTTTGGCTACAGTAAGCTCCTGCTATAGTATTGAACTGAATCGGTTTGAATTTGAAATTTATATTTTTTCGGTACTTACTGATTTTATGAGCTTTGCCGAAACGTCACGGTAGCCCCAAGATCCGTCGAATGCCGATTCTGAAGTCCCACTAGCGAGAATGAGGCGAGAGATTAGTCCTAAAATTTAAAAAAAAATTAGATTTTGGGGTTGTATCTTTCTGAATCTTTAAAATTTGCTGTTGCTGTTGCGCATACCATCAGCCTTTCCGCTCAAATACAAGCAACTTGCAATGGAAGCCCCTGCAGAATGGCCAGCAACAGTGATCGCATCCGGATCTCCGCCGAAGCTAAAATTTGTCTGAAATGTTTTCTATAGAGAGAAACAGAGAGAGAGAGTGAGAGAGAGAGTGAGAGTTAGAGAGAGAGAAAGGCTACCTCTCGATGTTCTTCTTCACCCAATTCAACGCCAGCAACACGTCATGAGCCCCGACGTTCGAATCGAAATTTGTCGTAATTTGGAGGACATCGGGAAGTAGATTTTTAACGTTGAGGAATCCTGAAATTCAACTCTAGAAACGCTTTCCTCTATTTTTACCTAAAAATCCTAGACGATACTGTACAGTGACGACGACGATGCCTCTGGAGACAAATCTGAATATTTAGAGAATTAGAGAGCGAAGAGAGAAGAGAGATAACCAGATAAAGAGAGAGAGAGAGAGAGAGAGAGAGAGATAGCATGAGATATAGAGAGAGTGGGTGAGATAAAGAACGCTTCAAAGATGATTTCTAACCTCTCTATCACGACTTCTGGGTCCAAATTCCCATTTCCGGTCTGAAGCTGACCACCGTGAATCCAAAACAGAACCGGAACAACGCCGGGGACGTCCTAAAATCCTTATCATTTACCATATTACATTACGGGAGAGAGAGAACGAGAGAGACCGAGAGGGAGAGAGAGCGGGAGTGAGTGAGAGAGATAGAATGAGAGAGAGTGAGTGGGTGAGTGAGTGAGAGAGAACGACATACCGGTGGTGCATAGATATTCAACGAAAGACAGTCATCAGACACGGTAGTTCCCAGCTTCTTCGCTTCGGCTCGACCATCAATTTGTGGACACAATGGTCCAAATCGGGTTGCATCGACGTTACCGTAGTAGGTGATTGGGAATGGTTTCTAACGTGGGTGTAATTTAGGACGAAAAGAGCGAGAGATAGAGAGCCAGAGGGAAAAAGGGAGAGAGAGAATGAGAGAGATAGCTAAGAGAGAGAGAGAGAGAGAGAGAAAGAAAGAGAGAGAGAAAGAGAGAGAGAGCGAGAGAAAGAGAGAGAGAGCGAGAGAAAGTAAGAGAGAAAGTGAGAGAGCTACCTTGAATCTTGGTCCAAAACCATACTTGATGCCCAGGAAGACACGACCTGAAAAAATCCAGGTTTATCCTAGCGCAGATCTCGGAAATCCTAAATGATCTCTGCTAGCTTGCCTTAAACTTTGGAGCCGAAGGAACTATCAGAAACTATCCTGAAGGATCTCTGCTGGTTCGCCCTCTATTTTTAGCAGCTTCTAGGGCGCGAGCATTCCGATTTGCACCAAATTACGGGACGTTTTTCAGTTATTTTGAAAAGGATAAATATATTTTATAACAACTATTAAAATTAACAAAATATAATATAGATTTTTGATGAGCGCATACGTATCAACTATAATAATTTTGTTGTGGTCTCCGTCTGTCCGAAGCCGAATTCAACTCGAAGGGGAAAAGAGCTAGAGCTTAGCTCTCTTCGGATTCGGATAGAGCGTGGTCAGAAACCGCTGGTAAATTACAGAAAAGTACAATACCCGGTTTTCCAGTAGCTGTAGTATAGGAAAAGCCGGCGATGTCCCCATAGGGGGTTCGAGCGAACTCTCGAGCACCAGAGAAATTTGGCAAGTTCTGGAAGAAGAGCAGCAACAGGATGAACGACATCATCAGCCAGTACAGCAGAAAATGGTAGCAGTGAATACAGCAGTTATTTCTGCAACTGTCCGTCATTTTTAGGGAATTTTAGAGAATATGGAGATCAAAAACGTTACAGAAAAAGTTGACAATTTTTGGATATTTTTTGGGTGCTCCCGGACCCCCGAGAAGCAGCAGACCAGGACGAATCCGCAGGTTGCGTCGAGAAAAAGGAGACAAAGAGAGCAAAAAAACTACCAAAGCATTTTATAAAAACGAAGCTTTTAAAAAATTGCTGAATCGATCATGAAATTAAAAATTATTATTTTCTGATCAAAAACGCAAAATACCATTCAAAATTCTGATTTTAATCTTTAAAACTTTTTCTTAAAATTTGGAAAATTAGCAAAGATTTAATTTAATTTAATCTATTTAGCAAATTGTTTGCTGAAGTTTAATTTAGCGAAACAGAAAAAGCTAAAACTAAGATTTAAAATGGTTTTTTATGTTTTAGCTTTTAAACTTTAAAACTTCCGCATATGCTTTTATGCAAAAAAAACATAAGAAAAACTGAACGTTGTATTTTATAAGCGAGACATTTTTGCATCCTGACTTTTTTAGGAAAATTCAATGCGCCCCTTTGCTATATGAACCGGGAATAGGAAAAGTTTCAAACTTTTTTAACGAATCGTAATTATTATATTGTAGTAGAGAAATTGACTAATCTCTGATTTTTTTATTAAGAAGTTCATTATTACCCAAAAAATCAATGCAATAACCAGGCAAGTTGGTTGATATGGGTGGAACTGTGTAAAAATCCGGGCGTTTCTCCAGCCATGCGCTGGTCAGTAATTCAACGCCGCAAGGTCAAGGTTGAGATGCCGAATTCCAGGGCAATCCTATTGCGCTTAATTGGATGCGTCATTGAGGAGAAAAAGCAGCTAAAAGCACGTTAACCTTGCAAATAAATCTATTTTTTTCCGGAAATTTACGGTCCCCAACGATCTTCTAGGTTGCGATGATTTTGAAGCCACCGCAAAACCCTTCAGTCATCGTGAACAAGCTCCAGAGGGGACCGCCCATGCAAAAACCGCACTATCTGCATTTTTTCAAAGCCATGAGAAAACTAGCGTTGGTTGGCACTAAAGCCGATCAAATGGAGTCTTTGTCAAAAAAAAGCGTCTCCTTTTCCCATGGAAAATGTCGAAAATCGAGCAAAAATTCCGGAATTCCGCAGGTCGAAGCAGCCATCCGGATCCGGCTTTTCGAGACCTGTCGAAAGATACCTAAATCGTAAAAATCGGGCCTCACTGTGGACCGCGAGAGGGGGATACTTCCTCGGGGGACCCTGTACATCGCGAATCATCCATAAAACCGCTTTTAAATCAATTAATCAATTGAAATAAATTAATTTAAATGATGCCAGGGCTCTTCGCCGCTGTTTCCGATTAGTGGACCAAGACCGTCATGTCTGCGTGGCCCGGCCGGTTGAGGGGGCAGCATGCCCCCTCGGCTCCCGGCAAAATTCGTGCAGCCCCCGGCGTGCATAGAAATCGCGCAGGGGACTGCACGAATTCTACCGGGAAGCGAGGGGCATCACTGCCCCTCAACCGGCCGGGCCACGAAGGCATGGCGGTCTTGGTCAGAGAAGCCTCCACGCTCCCGACCCCACTGTTTCATGTGGGCCAGACGGGGGGCGAGTCGGACAGGTTCGGGGAGCATCCATGTTTTTGGGTTTTTGGGGCTGGGGAAGCTGAAAATAGCATTTTCAGGTTGTCTGGGGCTTTGAAAATGGCGGAAGGCCACGGAATAAGGTGTATATAATTGTTTGAAGTTTTCAAACGCAAATTTTTCATTTTCCATAGTTTCCATTCCTAATTCGCCGCATTTTTGTATTTTTAACATTTAGAAAGTCGTAAAATTGTTCTTAGCTGTAGTTTTTTATCTTTTTCGACGTTTGCCTAAAAAAAATCTTAAAATCGCGCTGGTTGTAAAGGTTGTTTTGACACCAGAATTGTGTGATTTTATTTTTCTTCTGGTTTTTGATATAGATATGTAAAAGCGTTGAGCATTAATAACAGGTAGTTGAATAGTCTATTTGATTCCCAAAGTGTCCTTTTTATGCTCAATCCTACTATATATAAAAAAATAGTGTCTGTGTGTGTGTGTATATTTGCATGCAACTTCCGTAAGTATGTACCGGACCTACAGCCTCAGGGGAAGGTTTTTAAGGTACGTATGATACGTCATTAGGTGCGTAAGGGTCCCGAGATGAGTGCACACATATAAGATTTAGGAAAATCTGCTGTTTTCGCTATTAAAATTAAGTTTTTGTAAATATATCGAAAAACCTCTTTGTTAGGAGGCAATTAGCATTGGCCGGAAGTGGCCGTAGCCTATAAAAAGGGAGGGAGGGTGCGCTTTTCATTTTTTGGTGATCGGCATTCGGCAAGCCCTATGTAAAGTCAAATTTTCAGATGTCTTAAACGGGTCCAGTAGACCTCTCGAACCCCCCCCCCCTAAACCCCCCTAACTAAGGGGGTTGGTAGGGGGGTTTTAGGGGGGTTCGGAGGGGGGTTCGGTGGGGGTTCGCAGGGGGTTCGGAGGGGGTTCGGAGGGGGGTTTCGGCGGAGTTTTAGGGGGGTTGGGAGGGGGGTTTAGGGGGCTTGGGAGGGGGGTTTAGGGGGGTTGGGAGGGGGTTTAGGGGGGTTGGGAGGGGGGTTTAGGGGGGTTGGGAGGGGGGTTTAGGGGGGTTGGGTGGGGGTTTAGGGGGGTTGGGAGGGGGTTTAGGGGGGTTGGGAGGGGTGTTTAGGGGGGATTGGGGGGCGGGGGGGTTTAGGGGCGTTTAGGGGGGTTGGGAGGGGGGTTTAGGGGGTTGGGAGAGGGGTTCGGTCGGTGAAATGATATACATATATGAAGATCTTTTCAAATTTTTCGTCTATCCTACTATATATAAAAAAAATAGTTTCTGTATGTGTGTGTGGACACTTTGCATAAAAACCAGGGTTCCAGCCATAACTCGAAGGGCAGAGGATTTTATGGTTCAGAAATAAAGTGGTTAGGGGTAATCGAGGGCGTAGATTACTGCGCGCATATCAGATTTTTACTAAAATGACGTTTTATACCTTATTTTAACGATTTAAAAACATATGGAAATAGACTAATTTGCATTCGGCTCTTAATTCGGCTCATTCTGGGCTTTGCGGGGTTCCGAGTCGGTTGCTCAAGTAATTCCTGTGGTGCCTTTCCCCTAACGTAATTCGCAATATTAATGCAAATTATAATATGCAGTCCCCTTGTATCAAAGGGCCCCGCAAAGAGGCCAGGGTTGAAAAGTCGCGAAGCGGCTTTTCAACCCTGGTTTTTTAAGAAAAATGCACGGAAAATTGTAATTTTTTAGTTTTTAGCATGCGTTTTCTAAATTATTTTTGCAGCAGATTTTTATGTTTTACCGTTGAAGAACACCGTCAAGGACCCTATCCCCTCGCTCTGCCCACCGCAGCGCCGGGGAGTGACAGTTGGAAGACAAACGGACATTGATAATCCATCTATCCATCACGCCAGCCAGCCACCGCCCGCCCGAGATAAGGTGTGAGAGGGATGTCTTGTAAACATCGAAATGGCTCATGTTATATTAACAACTGCGGATACCTTTACCTAGCTAACGTCAGGCTCCTTCCTTCACTTTTCTCAATAGTTTTCCGTAAAAATATTTTTTTCAGTTTTTCTCGGGAGCTAGCGTTATGAAATTTGAAAGTTGGCGTAATATGATAGTAGGATGGCTAAAAGGTACACTAAAGCCTCGTTGGTTTGTTTACCGGCCGGTAACCGTCCGCGGGATAGCAAACAGGGTTACGGTGGGCGCACGCCGCGGAGCAAAACCGAACCCTGACTGCCAGCTTGGGGCAGCGCCTTGGACCACTAACAAGGGAAGTGCACGACCGGCCCACGAGAAATCGACACGAGACAAAGTGGATCTGATAGAATCGGACACGGGATTCCGAATCTGTAATCCAAATTTGCTAAATAAAACGGAGAAAAAAGTTATGAAGCATCAAAGTTAGCCAAATCGCCAAAAACGGTACCTTTAAGGGGTCGTAAAAACCGGGGGAACGGTATTGAGGAGAAAAGAATTAGTGCATCTTGTTCAACAGAAAAAGCGCTTTCGAATGAGCTGTAATACGTGGCATTTGCAAACAATTCACTGAAAAAAGTTTTTTTGGATTCACGGGCAAGGGTATGGCCTGTCAAGTTCATAGAAGAGATTTTCGCGAAATCATCGTAAACTTAAAGTAAGATAGCTCATTCGAAAGCGCTTTTTCTGCTGAACAAGATGCACTATGGTTGTGGCATATTTCCATTCCCTGGACCTTTACGGGCCCATAAAAGTCCGATTTTTGGCGATTTTGCCAACTTTGAAGCTTCATAACTTTTTTCTCCGTTTTATTTAGCAAATTCTGATTACAGATTCGGAATCCCCGTGTCCGATTCTATCAGATCCACTATGTCTCGTGTCGATTTCTCGTGGGCCGGTCGTGCACTTCCCTTGTAAGCCAAGGGAGAGACTGGGAGAGTCGGAAGGGGAGAGGCGATCAGAAGGGGCTGGGTTGGCTGCGGCAGAGAGCCCAAATTTCCTACCGCGACCGAACTTTTTGAATGAGGTTTTAGTGTACCTTAAAGCGTCCGCACCATATGGATTTTATTCTAATTACCCTCTTTTCACGCTGCTTCCTTCTTGACCTGCCTAGTTTCTACACAATTCGCCAATAAATATGGATTTTCGGTGCTATTTTCTAAGAGTTTCGAGATGGCAGACCATTTGTTCTGCCAAATTTACCCGATCGGGTTTCCCGCAGAACGACGTTGCGACATCGTAACACCAGCGTCGTCGGAATATTCGAAATTATGAGGTTCATAGGCTGCTGAGCGGAGCTTCCACATCATCCTGCTTTTTCAAAGTTCAATGAGTTCCGGAAAGATTTCGGAAAACTGAATTAGGCCCGTTTAAAATATATACTGTGAGCTGGATCCTTTTTGACGGCGCGAAGACGGGTTTTTAAATATGCTTTTTCGGGCTATAAAAAGCTCTTAGTATATTTTTCGGCCCTCTATCGAATGGCATTTTCAAGATATCGAAAATATTCAAAACGCCGAAAATTTGTTTCCCCCCCCGCGTTATCCTATGTGCTGCCCCCGAAAACTACCGCATATGGAGTTACAACGTGAAAAAAAATTACCAAAATGCATTCTAGTTCTCGCTCACCCCTCCCCCCGCCTCAAAACGTCCCTGCATATCCCTGGCTAATATCAGGCTAATCCGGGTGATCAAGACAAGAAGAGGAAAAAGAGAGGGTGGTCTCGGGATCATAAAAGCGATCCCCGCCGTGAGCACCCCGGCGAGAGAACACGAAAAATCAAGAGGGCAGCAACAATCAACCGCAAAGGGTATCCCCGCGTAGTCCCGAAAGTACCGTAGCCCCGAGCCGATTCGACCGGTCAGTTCTCGACCCGACTCGGGCGCGCTGGGGTGCTGTTGCTGTCTCTGGGGTCTCTCTTTTCATGCGCTCTCTCGCTACCCTTGCCCGGTTTTTTCAAAGCCGACGCCCCCGAATTTATGGAGATGCTCGCGGGGTGGATGTGGCCTAAGCAGCGAAGCCGTTAAAATCCCACCCATTCGCCCGCACTTTCGGTTCAGCCCGGGCACTACGGTGGATGTGGAAAAAACAACGTAGAACAGCTGATTTTTGCTGGAATAATGTTTTTATCGAAAATTCTGTATCGAATCATGGGTACTGTAGTGTTATCAGGGGGATAGAAATTCGTATCACCAATTTTTTGTTTTCCTGCATATGTCTATTGATAATCATCAGATCTTTTTCTAGTGTTGTTGGCAGTTTTTCAGTTTGAAAAGTATAAAAGTCATTTTTGCAAAAGTTAAAATTAAAATTTATTTCTATGGTCGCCAATTCCGGGTCCGCTTAGTTTCTGCCATCATAAAAGATCACAAACTGATCCCGGACCGACGAAGCCACTTCCAGCCATGGCAACATTCCGATCCTATAGGCGGGGCGGAGTCCGGAGTGCTACCGTAAGCCGAGGCGGAGCCAGAGCCCAAATTCTCAGCTATTCCGAGTTCCAAAAACGATTTCGGATGATTGTCGATAACGGTATCCGGTGCGGAAATCGCCGGAGCGCCTGAAACACAATAATTCATGGAAAAAAGGTTAACGGTGCTCACTTGTAGTGTGCTCACTTGTGGTGCTACTTACACCTGATTCCTCACACTGTAAGAGTTGACTTTGTGAACCTTGTGTTGAGAATAAATATTATTATATTATTATTATTATAACGGTCATTTTGGTCTGGAACTCGGCGGATGACGTGTTTCAGCCAATTTTTTTGAGCCTTGCGGTCTCATGGATAGAGCGACGCTAGAAAATTTACTGCACGCTCTTAAAGGGACTCCGAAATCTGGTCCACGGCCCCCTGCTGTGATTCCTGGCCAATAGCCAGATTCGGCCGCAACGCGACCGCTCCGCATGATCTTTTGCTCCTGTTTGGACGCGAAAACGACTGAATTTAAAAATTATGATGCTATTTTTGGAATCCTCAACAAATTTTGATCATTCCAGACTATTAAATTATGAAAATTGACCAGAGAATCACCGAGATCGAGAGATTGAGTGCCTTACGAGGCATTACGACATGGAATCGTCGCGCACTCAAAATGTCGTTTTCGCCCCAAAAAGAATTCGGTTTTTCTTAAACATTTTACGTTTGTACGCAATAAAATCACTTAGCACTTTTCGGCAGGGACCCTTTCGTTTTTTGACCGTAGGTTCAATCCCCGCACGCACGAATTTTGACTTCCAAGCCCCTTTAAAGGTAAGATGGGATGGGATGCGGAAGGTAAGAACGTTTAAAACTAAGATAAAACAACAAAGAAATTTGAGGCTTCCAGGAAGTACTGTATTCAATCTTTGGGACGGTTACGGCAAGCCAAGAAAGTGTTATGGGGGTCAGACCCAAGCATCGGCTTTATTTCCGGCAAAGCGTGTTAAAGTCGCGAGGACGACAATTTTAGAAAAATTTTGTAGTGCCTGCCGAACACGCGGAACGCGACGCATGCGTGCGGTTGTGCAGGACGCTGAAGTCCTAAATTTTGCCTACCCAACCCGTTTTGCTATCACAATGTCGACATTTCATTATGACGAAATTCATACTGTCAAAATTTTGTGTATTTCGAAATTTTAGGATTTTGTAGTTTCAGAACTACGACATTTACATAGGCAAATCCCCGGAAACTCCTCCAAATACTAAGCAAAAGAGACAAAAAGCAAACTTTCGACATGGTATGAAATATCGGCCTTACGATCTTCGACCATATGATAACAAATCGCCTCCAACGGTTTCGGAAGCCTCCGGAAAATCGTTTTCGATCCCTGATAGCTGACCGCTCCCCTTCGGCAGACCCGCCACGGAGGCTGATCATGATGATAAGCGCTTTCCGAGCCTTTTAAAGGTGTCGCCGACTTTTGCGATGATCTCCCGGATTTGATCTGCCGCTGAGCTTTCCGACCCGCAAATCACCCCCGCGTAGAAACATCAGAATGCACTGGCACTGCACTGGGTTTATGGCCCTGAAACGGGCCATAAATCAGCCAATCAGGGGCCTCGTGTTTTTCGCGCTTTTTCAAGGGGTCCGCGCCGAAGAGACGCGCAAAAAGTACAATTTACTGCCCGGATGGAACTTCGGGAATTGAGGGTGTCGTGGGGAAGACCACACGCGTGGAGGTCACAATTTCAGGAGCAACAGTCGCCTTCAGGATTTCTAGATCAGCGACCTTGTCTGTCGTCTAAAAGTGGTGAGATTCCATGCGTTTGTCAGTAAGTAAAATTAGCACCCTTCTCGATAAAAATTTCAAAATTCCGTAATTAGTGAAAACCAAATAGAAAAATCCCTCTATCTTGCCGTAACGGAGTTTAATTCTAGAAATTAATTTAGCACCGGAAAACGCGGAAAATCAAATTAGTCTTATTGCCATTATCATTCTTTTTGTTTATCTTTTTTGCGCTCCCTCCTCTCTCGCTCTGTTTCTCTCTCTCTCTCTCTCTCTCTCTCTCTCTCTCCCCCTCTCTCTCTCTCTCTCTTTCTCCTTTTATCTTCTCTCTCGCTCTCTCTCTGTTTGTCTCTCTCAGTCTCGCTATATCTCTCACAAGATTTCACGATTTAACAAGATTGCCAGCCTTTATCGGCTTTTGCATCTATTTTGATTTAGGTTACGGTCGCTGCCATAGCTTTCCGCGAAATTCCGTTCCATTAACGTGCGAAAAATCTACCGTATGCATCCCCAAAGCCCCTACCCTGCAGAGATTTTCAAACAAACAGCCCCAGATCGGATCCAGAATTCGTGCCAGACCTCGAAAAAGTCGTGGCCGGATTACGTTGCCGGCAGAGTGGCTTTTCCGCCTCATTCCGCTGGACGGAGCCGCGATGAGATTTATAGCCGGAGGGCATTTGGATATTCACGAAACACGCTGACGCATACGCTCACACAAACGGCCATCTGATCTAATCGGGAGAGAGAGAGAGAGAGAGAGAGAGAGAGAGAAGCAGAGAGTGAGGGCTCAGGAAGGTCAATTTCTCCTCCTCGCAATCACCATCTTGCTCGGGGGCTGACCTCAACAATTAAAAGAACATGGCTGCGGGGGGCAATTGGCCTTGATTCTGGAGCGGAGGCCGATAGACCGATCAAAAAGTGTCACGTAGAAAGTGAGGGCAAAGGTCTGCCGGACTAAAAAGTGCCGGTACGGTAGGAAGGCTACGGTAGGCAGGGGGAAGGATGCTCTAATTCACTCCTTTTCACACTGCCACCATTCTGATAGCTGTCAAGTTACGGTAAGTTTTTTTAAGGAGCTAGGGAACGCGGATCGATTTAAAAAGTGCAGTTTCCGGGCGGTGTCCAGCGAAGCAAAACGTGCCGATCGGTAAACACAAAGTCTTTTCATAATCTTTTCTCGGAGTCATTTGTCGCTTACCGTAACGAACCGTAGCGCAGAATCTGACTGCCAGCATTCCAAGCCCAGAAATACCGTTTCCGGGGTTTCTTCGCTGCATGCCGTACGCACGCCGTAAAAACATACCGAAAAAAGCCAAAGTTCCGAAAAACCGACTGCATTGATGCAGATAAGCTAGATACTAGATACGCGATATTGGCAACTTTCTTGCATAATTTTTGCCGTCTTGGTGTCGGCAACGAGGCCTGTCGGGGATTGGCAACCGGCAGTTTTGATGTTCGCGTTTTAGAGGGGAAGATTAGCTTGGCGACATGGATGGGGTTGTCGGTACTTTTGCTATGAACATTCTAAATCTCGGGATTTTGGTTGTCGGTATTTTAAACCGCCGGAAGCCGTCGTGATTTTCAATAGCAACAATTTCGATTGTCGGGATTTTGCTCGGTCTCTCTTTTTGATATAGGTAATTCAGTTTGTTTCCACGTCTAGCCGGCAATTACGGAAAGTCGGTCTTTTCGCTTGTCGAGAGTTTAATGGTAAAGGCTTGCCTTGTCGGGATTTTCAAGATCACCAATCGCGCTTGTCGTTATTATGGCTCAAATCCTGTAACAATTCCCTTTAGTCAAGTTGCGCCAAGTTCCGGGTGTCCTGTGTTGCATACCGTACCCCTTCCGCTCGCTCTCCGGTTTCTTCCCCAGCTTCTCCCCTTCCCGCCCCCCTGCCGGCTCGAAGATCCGGCTCCCCTAGATGTTGCTCTCCAATTTTTTTCGCGGGAATTTGATCCGCCGCTATGGCAAGAATCAGCTCACAGAAAAGAGCAACGAGGCCCTCCTCTTCTCCGCCCCTGAGGACAAAAAAGCTGAAACAAATGAGGGTGCGGCGCGAGAGTGGGAGGGACCAGAGAGAGGCGAGAGATAACGAGGCCTCATCCTCCCCCAGATATATAATGGGAGGTCGGTCTGGGGATCGAGCTTTTGATCTCCGCACTAGCTGAAGCCTTCAAAATGGTCCCCCAGCGGACCCGGGTCCTGCGGCCTATATTATTTGCTGTGCTATTTTATGCCTTTTCCGTGCGGCATGCTGATGGTGGGTCAGATCTTAATTTTATTCTGATGTTTTGCCGTTTTTCTTTTTCTATCCTCTGAACACGCCCCGCTCGATCTTACACCATGTTTTTGCCGGCTTCATAAATTTTTGCTGGCTTCTCTGTCACTTTTATACCTAACGATTAGGAGTTCACGAGCATTTCCTGAAAAAAACATAGGCAAATTAAAGAGCTGATAGGCGAAAACCGTATTCCAAATTTTCCTCGCCGGCCAGGGAGCTAGGTTCCATTTATCAAGCCCTAAAATTCTCGTGAAGCCTCTAGAAAAGGTAATCTCCAATCCCATATGTTTTCCTCTCAGTCAATCTCTCTCTCTCTCTCTCTCTCTCTCTCTCTCTCTCTCTTTCCTTTCTCTTTCTCTTTCTCTTTCTCTCTCTCTCTCTCTCTTTCTCTCTCGCTCTCTACCTTGGGCTAAATACGGCAGCGAAAGAGACCCTTGGAAGCCCAAGTAAAAGACTTATTCTTACCCTTTTCTCTCGACCCTTGAATCCCGTCCTGGAACTCGGGCTGTTGCCTAAAATTCTCTTGCTAAAAACCAAGATTCCAATGTCTGGCGCGCCAACGTCTGGCGCTGATCTCTCTAGCCTTGATTAGTGCTAGTTTGAGTTATAGGCGTGCTTTCGCCTGCTTAAAAAGAAGATGCCGGTTCTAGAATGTGTCAGTGTCTGCTTCCCGGGTTTTAGGGACCTAAGAAGACGCTAACTGTTAATCCCCATTGTCTTTCACCACTTTCAGCTGTCTCCAGCGCCCCCAGCAAGGTCAAAGTGGGCCCGCACAGTTTCGATGACATCAAGCTCGACAAGAAGGGTATTGATGAGGTTTGGGAAATCCTAGTTTTGCTCGATTTCTAGTTCGTCGATTTTAAACCTATCTTTTAGTGAAATATACCTACTAAAATGAACGACTCAGATTACCTCGAATTTTCATTGCCCCGATTTAGACCCAAATCATCCACCAGAATTGGATGATCTACGCGATCAAGGCGATGCTCGGCCAGATGGGCAAGGATTTGCTACCAAAGCTCGGACGCCGTAAGTAGCCCAAAGGAGGTACGGTAACCTAAGCTCCTTTTAGAAGACAAGCTCACCTTTCTACGGTGTTTGAGCCGGATAAAGGAGCGGACGGATTTGGTGGCGGCTAGCAGGTCAGGGATTTTGATTTTTCCAGGGCTTAATGGGCCTAGAAAGCGTACGAATCGACTCTTACCATTAGCTAGATCTAGACAGTTACAAAACAAACCAAAACACAGTTTTCCAGATGCCTCATCGCCGCCAAGGACGCCCACGAGGCGATGCGCAAGAAGTACAAAACGTACAATGAATATATGGCCCGGAAAGCGCAGGAGAACCTCAGAAGCAGCACCGAGGTCGAGCTCGGCAACAAGGCGCAAAGAGCGCTTGGGGCGTTTATCCAGGACACCAGCGACCTCCCAACGACCCCAAGGCCGAACCCCTTCGTGACGGCGGCGACGGTAACGACTCCAGCGAGTACGATACGTACAACCACTGGCACCACTACGACAGCGACAACGACAACTCGACCACAACTTCGACAAGTTCAACTGCGAAGAAATTTCAAGTCTTCTGAGCGATTCGGCAGCTTGAAGAAGAAGTGGGTTTCGTAACTGGATTAAAATTCTGATTTAGGTACCAAAAATGGAACAACTCCTTCAGGGTGCTGAAGAGCAGCGAGGTAGGTAGGGAGAGATATAGAGAGCGAGAGAGTGAGAGAGAGCGGGAGAGAGATAGAGAGAGCGCGAGAGCGAGAGGGTGAGAGAGCGAAAGCCTCATAATCCTGTTCAGATGCCTTTCAAGAGCTCTCTGCGCTCTAAATCGATCTACAACATTCTGAGATCCTATCGTCATCACCGGAAGCTGAGGAGGTTGAGAATGATGGATTCTGGAGAGGTAGACTCTTGCTCATCGTATCTCTGGATGAAAACACCAAGAGCTAAGAGTTCGCATATTTTCGGCGATTTCTCTGATGTCCCAATCCCTTTAATTTCAGCCGCGACGCCGCCTTCGAGTACGTCGCGTCAAGCGCTCCCCGCATCGATTGATCGCCGACATGGTGCAGAAGAGTGACTCGAAAAAGTTTGAGGTAAGAGAAAGAGAGAGAGAGAGCGACAGAAAGAGCGAGAGAGAGAGAGAGAGAGAGAGAGAGAGAGAGAGATATAGAGAGGGAGGGAGAGAACGATATAGAGAGACAGAGAGAGAGAGAGAGGTAGAGAGAGACAGAGAGAGCGAGAGAAAGAAAGAGCGGAAGAGAGAGAGAACGAGATGAAACAATAATTTTAGGTGAAATCTATGGCCAAAATGCCTGCCTTACTGCAAGAAAAGAAGAGCCCCGTCCAGTCGATCGCACGCCAGATTATGAAAGCTGTGAGGGGGGAGAATGGGACTGATTCGGCACCTGGTAGGTTTTTACACTTGCTTTGAGTTTTCGAGCTTGAATTTGATGAACTTTGTAAAATTTGGTAGTAATTAACCCAAAGAAAAGTTATTTTCGGTTGTTTAAACTTACGAGAAGAATACAAAAATTGAAATTAGACGATATTTCGATGCCGAGATGGTTTTACTTGTTCTGGTTTTCCATGTAAAGTACCAGAAAAATGCACGATAATTTTCTGCAACGATTTATGTAGCTTTGAAGCAATTTGAAGCATTACGAAAGTTCGAAAATTTGTAAAAATGCGTAGACTACGTTATAATCCACTTGACGCAGTACTTCAGGCACCTGGACCCAAAGTTATCAAAATATGCTGAAACTCAAGAAGCAGCTCGACAAACAGGCCAAAGAGCCCGGCGCAAAAGTGTACGATTTGAGGATGTACGATCTGGTGCAGGGCCGAGACACGCCGTCGGAGGATATTTGGGAGAGGGTAAGGAGGCTCGAATGGCCCCTTAAAACGTTTCGATTTAGTCAAAGCAGCCCGGCTTCTTGCAAGAAGCCTACGGTCTGATCGCTCGCATTAATGCGCAGGGGGATAGTCATAATCAGAAGTTTTTGTCACCAAGGTTAGTGATTTTCTTGCTTTCTCTCTCTCTCTCTCTCTCTCTCTCTCTCTCTCTGTCTGTCTGTCTACGTCCCTATCTTTAACCTTTTCTATCCTAGTCTATCGCCATCTCGATTACTATTCCACTTTGTGGCATTACCATGCTGATTCTTCTCTTTCTTTCTCTCTCTTCTCTGACTCTCTCTCTCGCTCTGTCTACCTCATGCTCATTCTAACTATCTCCAGCTTCCTCAACACCAATCAAAATATTGCTTATTATCCTTTGTGGTACTCTCATTCTCATTCCCACGCCTTCTCGTTTTCTCTCTCGCTCACTCTCGCTCTCTCTCCCACTCTCTCCCTCTCTCTCTCTCGCTCTCTCTCTCTCTCTCTGTCTCGCTCCCTAATTATGGCTTTATCTATTCAATTCTATTGAATTAGCGTTTCTTACCTCTTATCATCTCTCTCCTTATTACGGTCATCTCTTGCTCATTCATGCTCTCGCGGTAGCACGCGCTCTCTCTCTCTCTCTCTCTCTCTCTCTCTCTCTCTCTCTTCTTAAAAGTACCGACAAGTCTAAGATTTTTAGATTCGCCTCAATCATGCCCGACAAATACGGAGACTCGGACAAAAAGGCCCTCTCCCCCTCCATCCTCTCATTTTATCGAGATGAAGCTGAGGACCAAATCCTACCGTTGCCAAAGGTATACTGTATCCAAGGGTGCGGTTTAGTGTGCATTTTTAGTTGCTCGAAGACAGTGGGCTGAAAGATAAGGATCGGGACGCCATGCTCGAAGTGGTGATGGAAGTCTCGGGAGCACGAGGGATGGTCGATACTGCGATGAAGGTGAGGGCGAGAGAGAGAGAGACAGCGAGAGCGAGAAAGAGAGAGAGTGACAGAGTGAGAACAGAGAGAGAGGGAGAGAGGGAGCGAGAGAGAGAGAGAGAGAGAGCGAGAGAGAAAGAGAGATCGTGAGATAGAGCGAGCCACAGGAGCTTGAGCATGAGCGAGTTAGCATGAGCACGACCACCAGAGGCAGAGCATGAGTCCCATTTATACAATTTGCAGACGATGAAAAACATGCACATGTTCGGCCTTGACGAAGAGTTCAAGGACGTCACCGACAAAATTCAGGACATCTTCAAGGCGTTAACCGGCAGTTTTACCGGGTATTTTTTTTTTATTAATTAATGTGGCGTTTTATGTATTTTGATATAAGCTACAATTCTATTTTTAATACGATAATCACAAATCCCAGGCGCCAGAAAAAGGAGATGAAACGCCGTGGCTACACATTTGCACACCCCGAACAGCTCGAGAAATTTCACGAAGCGCAAGGTGAGTGGATTCAAGCTGATAAGCGAAGCGTAGCGTAGCGTAACCACACACTTAATTCTCAGGCATCAAGGATCGGGAGCACGGCTTTAACTACGATACCTACAAACGATTATCCCGGAAGCAGCGCGAAGAAGCCCTGTGGCTACGCGTCAGACAAATTGCCAGGAATGTTAGCCATCCGGTGAGTAAAAAAAATGTATGTCATTTAGAAGCGGCGGAAAGGCACCGTTATCCAGTGTTTACTAAGTTTAAAGACACGCTGTTGCGACGCTACGAAAAAATACCCGGTGTACAGTACGGAGGGCTGCGCTAGGCTATCAAAACATAGGCCCAACCACACTACGCGACGCTATGCGCCGCCACAAAAGTATACGCTATTTCAAAGTACGTCAGGCTACGATACCATGAGCGTCGTATTAACCTCCGTCATAACCTTCATTTTCAGGTAGATGAGCCGCTGATGAAGCGTGGCCCGAACGGGACGTGGATCGAAAACCACAAAAGAGCGAAGCGTGCTCACTACCTTGGTGGTTGGCTGCATGTTCTCGAGCCGACCGTCCTCGCCCCGTTCGCTTTTACACCCTCAATTGGCGCTGGAATCCTCGGACCGCTCGTCTTCTCTCCTGGACTTTTCAAGTAAGTTTTTCGCGTTTCCGCAAGGAAAAAAAGATAATAAACTGAAAAGAAAAAAAAGAAAATCGAAAAGAAAATCTAAAAACCGCTACAAAATTGTTATTAGGAAAATCTAAATTTTTATATTGAATTAAGCGCACTCTGCACCTTATAGATGTGTGTTTATAGCCAATTTTTTAGTAAAGATGTTTCTGCCCTATTTTTTGCTATTATTAAACGCAAAAACGCAAAAACACCGATTTTTCGACCAAAATTTCGCATTTTAAAAATGTACAGTTTTTCAGATAGATTTTCCCGTTGAAATCTAGTTCTATTTTACGAAAAACATTAATAGGAAAACCCCCGATAATGCAAAAGTACCAAATAAAAATAACAGGTTTAATTCCTAGTCCGACCTTGCTTCTTGTCTTCTAAAATTTGGAAATTAGGGAACCGTCAATTGCTATGTAACATTTGACTGCATGAATAATATTAAAAAATCCAAAAAATTTTGACGATTTAAAGGAATTGAATTCATTTTAAAAGTTTTATTACAATTACAAAATTACAAAACGCAAAAAAATCGTGCAAATCCCCTTTTTTCAGTCCGGTCATCTTCAACCCGTCGATCGCGTCGCCGATGATCATGTCCCCGGGCATCGGCTACCCGTTCATCCTCTCCCCCTACATTTTCTCCTCCCAAATCATGAGCCCCCTCATCTGGGCCCCATATATTTTGACGCCCTATTTATTAGGGCCCAATATCATTACCCCGTATCTGATGTCGCCTGTCATTTTGTCGCCCATGCTTCTATCCCCTGATCTCGTCTCTCCAATGGCCCTCGGTGGAGCCGTACTTTCGCCCACTATGCTCTCGCCGGCCGTGTTTTCCCCATCCGTGTTCATGGTTAGTATCATGTCACCGTCGTTTTTGAGCTGAACTGCTTGAACTTGTTGCCGTCTCTCAATCGCCGTCGCTCCCTCTATCTCTCTCACGCTCTTTCACGGTCCTTCTCCCCTTCGGCTATCTTTCTCTTGCATCCTCCCTATTATTTTTTTCTCTTTTTCTATCTCTCTCGCTCTCCCTCTGACTAACTCTCTTGCTCTCTTTCGCGCTCTCTCCCCTCTCGCTCCCTTCCTCTCTCTTTTTCCGTCTCTCTCTTCTTGACCCCAAATATGAAAAACAACGTTTAACGATGTGAACGTTTTTTTTTTCAAACCCTCTCCAGCAGTCTAATAAGAATCCTGGTTCATTTATCTGACCTAGTCTTTCACTGATTTTTTTGATGCAATTCCACCAATCTTCGGGTAATTCTGCCATATGGATAAATTTTACTTTGAATTGGTTCCTTGACTAACTTAGGTAACGCGGTGAAGAGGCACGTCTATCGAAAAATTTACGGGATTTTTAATTTTGAGCTTTTATTGCTGATTCGACTTGTACAGCCAACCACCACGATATTCTCTACTTTACGATGCATTCCAAAGAAAGTCAGAATTTTGGCCGTGCTCTTTGGGTCGTTTGTTGTCGTGAAGTACTGCTGTTGTACCTAGTTAGCATGGTAGATGACTCAGAGAAAATCTAGAGCTGACATATGATGTTGTTTAGCGTTCCACCACGTCGCCCAGCTAGATGCCGATAGGGCAGGCTGCTGACGTGAGAAAATGTTCTATCGAGGCGCAGGATATGACGTCATCTGACGTCCCAGAAACCCCCGCTACTCATCGACGTTAAGATCCGGGCCGGCTTCACCGTACTTGGATGGATGTGTAAATCATCCAGCTCGTTCAGGTTTCCCGTTTGCAGGGAAAGTTTTTAAAAGTCGTAAAAGAGCTAGCTAGTGTGGAGGTATACTCTCTCGGTTCTAAAGACGCTATGGCCAGATGATGACGTCAACACTTCTGGCGCCCTTCAATACTCCAGATTTTAAATGCGACTTTCGATAGTCGTGGCGACGTCTTGAACTACGCCTGAAAACGCCAAGATCATCTTTTTAAGTGCCATAAAATTGTCGGGGAGTCTCGTGTACTTAGCCGGAATCGTCCCGGATCAAATCGTTTCAAGAGCCATAAAAATGAAGCCGTACCTCGCGTTTCCGGCAACGCGATTGCTAGATGATGACGCCAGGGTTGCGGTGCTCCTCCCTAGCTTACTACCCGAAATTCCCCAGGCACCAGTCTTTAATGGTCATGACGCCTTGGAAGATCCTGAAATTTTGCAACAACGTCATCTCATCCAGTCCAAAATCTGAACTTCAGCTTCATTTATAGCTCCGAGTCACCTCTTCCAAAAAAAGCATAAATTGAGGGGGATGAGTCAACGTGTTTGCTAGGGGGGCCCACACCCATTTCATGCCCAGTTATCACCTTTCGGCCTTAAAAAGGACCGCCGTCTGGGCAACACCGCACTTTCGATCTTCCCAGCTTCACCAAGGCATGATTTGGCCCGTTTTTACGGCTCTGCTGGCTTCAGGTATCTAAAAATTAAATTGCGATTTACAGTAATATCATCAAACCTTAAAAAACACCTAAAATATCTTAAAATGTACAAAACTTTTTAATTCTTTCTGCTCAAAAATCTTTGTTACTTTTATAAAAAAATCTCCGAAAAAAGTCGTGCTAGTAATGTAATATAAAGTCCGTTTAAATCCCTTCTAGCCAACGCCGCCGACCCGATCACCTACCAGACCGACGTCACCCCCGATAACGCTGGATTCTATGGGGTAGAGGGTGCAGGTAAGCGAATCTGTCTATTAAAAAATAAAAGTATAATAAGAAACAATTAAATGGTATTCCCGATCCAATACACACTAAAAAGCCTAAACCTGGACTCAGGTCCCCGGGTCCACCCAAAATCCGGTTGTATTCCACCTGGATTTGGGGTGGAACGCATGGAAATCGGCTGGATTTCGGGTGGACGCACAGGAAATCGAGTGGAAACACGACGCAACGCGTGCCGCACGCGACGCGGCACGTGGAAATCAAGTGGAAACCGGTCGGATCCGATCGATTTCCAACCGATTTACCGTGCATCCACCGGCAATCCGGTCGATTTCCACGTGGAATCCGGTCGCGTCCGCTACTGGAATTCCGAACGATTTCGCGAGCAGATGCCGGCCGGATTTCGGGTGGACCCGAGGACCTGAGAAAACGCTAGAATTTTTTCGACTTTATAGCTTTTAAAGTGAAACAACCATGCCTAACGTCACTTGGTCTATTAAAACACATTTTAAAGCAGATTAAGCGCATTTAGCAGATTGTTGAGCAATATTTTAAGCGGTAAAACTATCTAGAAATATCGTAGAACTCCATACTTTTCAAATTTTTATGATTTCAAGTAAATAAGCCGGTTTTTCCGAGCTGAATGATACAAAACTGCAAGTTTTTTTTGAGCATGATCGTTTTAATCATTCAATGCGCTAGATATCTGATTAAAACTATCAAAACACTCTTCTGCAGGCGACGTAGCAAGCATTGCCACGTTCACCGCCAAGCAGACGACGGCGCTCGGGGCGCAGATGGACTGCCATGCGCTATACGTTAACGTGGGTTTAGAAAAAAATTAAATTAATAATTTTTCTAAACTTGTGTACTTTTTCGCTACAATAATGTACATTTTAAACTATTCGTCGCATTAATAGACGATATTCCCCGGAAATCTAGCGTTTTTCAGACATCTGGCTGCTCCATCGACATGTACCTTGGAATAGAGCTGCCCGCTGACGCGAACAAGGAGAAGAATTTGTTATTATCTTTTACGTAAGTTATACAATTTTTACGATATGCTCCAAATAACAGCCGCGACAACTACGCCGGCTACAAAACCAGCCGCGTCCGCGCCCCAGCCGTCACTTTCTACTTTCCGCCGCGCTGCGATGGCAAGGTGGCGTGCTACGGACAAAATTGCAAGTATTTACACAGTTCAATTAATTCGGTTAATTTCTTAGGTGCTTTTCCATTAACCGGGGGGGCGGGAGAATTTTTTGCGCAAGTCCAGACATTTTCGTCAAAAATCCGTCATTTTGCTTTTCGCTTTCGCAAAAGTCAATTGGCTATATTTCAACTAAAAAAGCTACAAAATTATCGAACAACTCTTAAAAAATGCTTATAATTCGAAATTTTTGGTCGACATTGGCAATTTTTGATTCAAACTTTGTAAGGCTTTGACGCTGCGAAAAAGTGAAGTTAAAAAAAACAGTTTATGAACATTTTATTGCCTCACCCCCGATAACGCAAAAGTGCCCGCTTATCTTTTGTTTAGTGATCAAAGACGTGTACCTCGACGAGAATTCGATGGGTTTCTTCATGTTCCCCGCCGGCGCGTACCCATCCACTTATACGGCTGCCTATACATGGACCAGTAAGTTTAAGGAGTTATTTATAGTTCTTGGCAGTAATAAGGGTTATTCTTATTAGAATTTCTATACAATTAAAAGTACCCATAACTGGTATAAAATTAAAATTTTAACTACTATACAAAATTAAGCGAACAAAATTCGAATTCTCATTTCAGGCGCCGCCAAAGTCAGCATTGAAGTGGTGTGGGCCGAGCCGGGCTCCTCCGGAAACTTGACAGTCAAGGCGGGCGCGGAAACTAAAGTGTAAGCCCATAAATTTAAGCATAGGCATTGGAAACAGCGTATTTTAAAGTAAAAACTTGATAATTTGCATCAAATACACAAAATATATCGATTTTGGAGTAAAATGCCCGGTTTTCGGCAAAAATTCAGCATTCTTTTGATGTTTTTCACTACTTCAACTACGCTTAAATTTTACTAAAAATGCTATTAAAATCTGTATTATTAAAATCCATACATGAAATTCATAATATTCCGTTATTGAGCCTATCAATTCATCTTTCAGCTTCACCCAAAAAACGGCCAACTCCGGAAAAGTTCAGGGTGTCGGCAACGGACTGGAGGTGAGCGTTTGGCTTCAAATAAAATTTGCAAGATTGTATAAATTAAACCGACTGCACTTAATGAAAAATTCAATCCCCCCCCCCCGATATTGTCAAAGCACCACGAATATATTCAGGTGGACTGGTGCCCATCCGACGATTCGAAGAGCGGCTTCCTCGCTCGCTACTTCACCGGCTACGAGCAGCCGCAGCCGGAAGCCACCACCAAATCGGCGATGGCCCTCGCCGGATCCCTTCTAATTCCACTTCTGACTCTTCGCTATTTTTAAGCCATCGATCGAGATCCTGGTGCTAATAATTTTTTACAAAATACGGGTAGATGAAGGCTTCTCTATCTCACTTTTTCTCACCGTCGCTTGTCCTAAAATGGAGCTTTTGCATTAACAGGGGGGGGGCTTTTTCTAAACGTAAACACCTTTAAAAAATTGTTGCTTCCTGAAAACATTACAAACCACCCCCCCTGATAACGCAAAAGCTCCCTAAATTCGTCCACGAAGTTAAAACTTATTGCATAAAACTACTGAGAAGTTCTCCTCTGCAAAAATTTATAATCTTACAACACACACACGAAAAAACCAAGACACAGAAATACCACACGCAAAAAGGGCACAACAAAAACGAATTCGAATAGAATCACAAATCGAGTGTCGTGTCGTGCAAAAAAAAGAATTCAGAAAAAATGGGGGATGCACGCCGGGCGGCTAGTAGAAATTCGCCTGGAAACGCGACGTCAGGATGCAGTCGATCAGCCAATTCGGGGTGAGCTGAAAAAAACGAGAAATTTTCAGGCACGGCAAATTTTAATTCATTGTTTTTAGTTTCCATTCAATCAGGCAATCAACTCAATCAAACAAATTCAATTCATTTTTCAAAATAAATAAAGAACGCGCTTCCAACGGATTTTAACGATACCAAAATGCTGCTTACAAAAATTGCAGTAAAAATACACACAACAACGGCCTTTAAAACCGTTTACTTTTTAATTGAATTTTTGATTGATTAAAACGGCCGATTTTTCGCCAAAATGAAAATTCAAAAATTATTAGAAGTTTCCGAAAGCCTCGAAATTCGAAATTTTTTGATAAATTTGATTTTTTTTTATCTCCACCTTGACTCATTTCATTCTAAAAAAAATTTAAGCCACTGACCAGCGTAAGATGCTTCTTGTTGGGCAACGTGGCGAGGATCGGGTTGTCGACGTCGGCCGGGCAGGCGACGACGAAGCACGGGGATCTGAAGCGAAAAAATATAAAAAATACGAACTTTAAATTACCCCCGATTCGTGTCGTAGAATGGCGACGGTTCGCTTGACGAGTGGATCGGCTCCCGGTTTACCACCTCGAACAAATATATTAGATTTTTATAAATTTCTTACCTCCCCATCGGCATTCTGAACAATCTGGCGAAGCCATGCTCGCTCATGCCCGCGATACTTTGCCGAGATGAAGAAGAAACGAGCGCCCATGAATATTCCTGGTTTCTAAAGGGAAGTTAACTATTTAAAAAGTAGATAAATTACCAATAACATTTTTCTTCGTCGTGTCACCCGTGCGGTGCCATCGGTCCCAGGAATTGGAGTGCCGTCGCGCAGGATTTTTTGAACCTGGAAAACGGTTATTCTGGCCAGCCTGAAAAACCCTATAAAAATACAAAAATCTAGATATATTTTATCATAAATCGTCGATTTCCGGCCCAAAATTTGCTTTTTTTTAAAAATTCAACGTTTCTAATAATTTTTCCACAAAACTGAAAAAATTCTCACCTCATACTGCCCCTCATTCGGGGGGATCGTTCGCTGGCGGATGCAGTCGGACACGAATCTCGAGCCGACGATACGCAGACCCCTCGAGATGGCCTCGATCAACAGCGGTGAGCACTCCACCGAGCCGTCCGGCCCGACGCCGGCGAGTACGATGTGCGTCGACAGGTCGCTCATGGTTTCCGATACCGACTAAACGATAGATCTAGCAAACGTATTTCTAAGCCCAACCTCAAACAGCGCCATCGTGTCCAGCTTCACGTACAGTCCGGCTTCGAGCCCTTGACTTGGCGGGATGCAGATATGGCGGCGTTTTGGGTAGATTTCTAAGAAAACATATTTTTACAGAACCACCGAAAAACCTTTAGAAACTCGATGCGGGCGGCTGACGTCGAAGGCTTGTTCAATCTGCTCGGCCACGGGCAATGGCAGTGACTTTGCGGCTTCGAGAGGTGACATTTTTCGCAGGTCAAGCGCGTCCTTGTTCGCACCCTAAAAAAGATGTGTAAGAAAAGCGAGAGAGAAAGAGAGAGAGAGAGAGAGAGAGAGAGACAAAATCTCCGGTAAGTTGCAAAACGTACATGTGACAAAAGTATTCGCACCGTCTCGATGGAGCCGCCTCGGACAGCGGCGTGCAGTGGCGTTTCACACTCTTTCGTGCCTGAAAAAAAAGGTAAATTACGGCAGTATTCACTATTAATTCTTAGTAAAAATTCAAATAGCATTAAAACTTTCGTTAATGACTTTATAGTATTAAAGACACAATTTTACATAGCTGAAGCCTTACAATGCGCATTGACGATGGCTCCAGCCTGGATGAGCACACGAGTGATTTCGTAGAGCCCGGCCCGGGCGGCGAGAAACAGGGGCGTACAGCCCTCCTGTGGGTCCCGCTCGTTGATCTCGGCCTCATTCTAAAGTGGAAATATAGGATCTTTTTTGTTATATAATGTGCGTTAATTTATTACAATTTTCTAAAAATAGCGAAAAAGAGACTATTGGAATCAGTTGGAATTGGAATAAAATACATCAAAATTATCGATAAACTAATTTCCAAATTCCAATTTTCGAAAAAATCAATGACGAACGTCGATTTTCGACAAATCGAACTTCGAAATTTTGAAATCTTTTTTGAAAAAGAACTTTTTGAAACTTTTTGAAAAAGTGAAAATAAGCCAGTAATAAATATATCTATCCCTCACCGCCACCAATTCCCGGACCCTCGCCAAGTCCGCGGCCAGCACGGCGTTGACCACGTTCATCTCGCCGCGGCGCAGCACATTGGGAAGGCGGGCGGGCGGCCGTTTTCGAGGAGCTCTCCCGGGATCACTAAAAACAAAACTTTAGATAAAGTTTGATTTTCAACCATGAAGCTGCGCGCAGACGAGCGGCCGCCTCCTTGTACGTGGTCGACGTCTCGACGGGGCAATCTTCAAAGCAGGCGGCGGCGGGTGCGGGGCTTCTTGGCGGTCTACGGCGCTTCGGCGACGGCTCGGGTATGAATTCTTCCTAAAATTCGATCAATTAATTTTAATTATACAGAACGGCTCAATAAGCTAAGTTAAAACCAACTTTATGCGATATCTCAGCCGGCTTTTTCAACGCACGAATCGGGGTCCGGGCTTCGGCTTGTCGTGGACTGCTCGCTTTCGAGGAGACACCGTTAGTCCTTGTTCGAGTCAGCCGGGCGAAGGCGGATCGCTAAAAATTTTTTTTAATAACTATAAATAACAAATATTCACGAAAAACAAAAAATGAAATACTTTGATTTTAGGGAAAAAATGTGTCAACAAATAACATCATTTAATTCTTTTTAAAGGCTCAAGCTGCTTGTTTACCGGAGATTCGACTGCACAGCGCCCGAACGACTGGTTGAGGTCGTGGAATCCACTGCTCGATGGCGTCGGAAAATTGTCGGGCTCCTAAAAAAGTCAATAAATAAAAATCAACTTGCATTTATTATTACCCATTAACTTAAACTTTGGGGACTAAATAAAGCGGCTTTCAATGGCAAAAAAATGGCCCAAAAAGGCCAAAAAAAGAACGTTTATTAAACTTAACTTATTTTCTTGAAAATAGAAATATTACATCAATTAAAAATGAATAAACAATTCATTTAGAAAATCTACCTCTTCAACGACCGGCTCCTCTCGATGGGCCCGTTTTGCCGAGCGCAACGATCGAGCGGGGCTGGGCGGAGGTGAAGACGTGGCCGCTGTCTGAAAAATCATAAAATTATCAAAGTCGAGAAACCCCTACCGGAAGCGGCGCCACTTTCGAAGTAGAAGCGCCACGGCGCGGCAATCCTGGCACTGGCGTCTTGTAGGCGGTGGCCACCGTATTCCGGCGCCGCGGCGTCTTCGGGGTGGTCGGCGCTTTTCCGTGGATCGTCGATGTGGACTAAATAAAGATTTAAATATACATGGGACTTGTTCAAAAAGACGGAAATAATAATCAAAAATAAAAATTACTAACATCAATCACAATCGGCTTCATCAGGGACGTGCGCCTCCTCAGGTGGGGCTCGGCATCGCCGGCGGCCGGGTGAATTTTCGGTGGTGGAAGCGAGCGCCACTAAGCAAAGGTTGTAAGTTAATTAAATTGAAGAAAATGTAAAATAAAATAAACCCTACATAAATAAATATATATATATATTTTATATAAATCATATTTTAAGCTAAAAATTATAGTTTACTTATTTTATACATTTAAGATATAAAAAATTCAATAAAATATAGCTTATTAAAAAACGCTTATAGTCATTATCTACAAACACACCTTATCATCCTTCAAATTTCGACCCCGAAAACCGCTTCCGCCGGCTTCCAGAGGCTTCTGGTAGAAGAGGAGGGCGTTTGGAGGTACTATCTAGAAAAATCTAATACTCTTTTTCAATCTAAAACTTTAATTTGAACGCCTCTTTCCGTGAACTTCCACGACACGCAAAGCAGCCGTACGCGTGCTGCCGCCGGGCGGCTCAAATCTAGCCCTAAAAACCTTACCGGTAGATCCACCGTCCAGTCAGTCGCCCCAGACCGTGAATCCGCGCCGAGCTGGGAGAAGAGATCGGTCGTCGGTTTGGCCTGAATTTCAGAAATGTATGAAGAAAATAAAGCAGAATTAAACAAAGATCTACAGAAATGCTTACTTTCTCATGAACCGCCATCGCGCTCTTCCGCTTTTCGGGGATTGCCTCTTTGTTCGGCACCTCCCTCGCCACGTCGCTTTTCGTCTCGCGTCGTCTCGGGGTAGGTTTTGTCTAAATTTCAATAATTTCAACGACAAAGTACATACGTCAAATTCGGGCGTGGGCGGCAATCGGTCGACGTCGTTGGCGTTTGGGTTCTGCGACTGGAAGAAGTCGCTGCCGTTATTCTAAAGCGATGTTTGAATTTTGGGTTCTTTTGCATTATCGGGGGTTGAGGAAATGTTTTAATGAATTACTATTAAACGTAAAAACTTTACAAATTTTCATTTTAAAACTACCAAAAATATCGATTTTTCAAACAAAACGGTCGATTTTTAACCAAAATCTCCAATTTTCAAAAATTTTGAAAGGTTTCTAGACAGTATTTGCACTTAAAATATAGCTAAAGCTTACTAAAGCCCCGAAAAAGAATTTGTATTAGCCTAAAATTATTAGGTTACTCCGCATTTCTGAATCTAGACAAAAAGCGCCACCCCCCCCGATAATGCAAAAGCGCCGAAATTTGATTAAAGCTTACCAAATAATCCGGCAACGCCTTTAGCACATTGCCCGACAAGATCGGCTCGTCGAGCCCGCTCGGCAATTGGGAGAAGATATTTTGGGGCTAAAATCGGATATTTTCGAGTGAGAAAATAATGAATACCGTCTTGGCTCTCGGAGCAGCTGGAACCTCCTCGTCCTCGTCGTCGAAAAAGACGCCAAAAATGTCGTCAGCGTCATCGTCTCCCAATTGTTCCGGGCCCTGAAAAAAGGTCTAGAAAAACCAGGGAAAACGGAACCTCATCTACAGCTTCAGCTGGCTTCATGATCGGGCTGGTGGCTTGGAAGCGTTCAGCCGAACCGGGCGATAATTCGGCATCATCCGGTCTCCCGGGCACTTCCGGAAGCTAAAAAACGGGTTATTCAGTAAAAATTTTTGGTAGTACCCATTTTTTCTTTTACTATTTTTACTATACTTTTATCATTCAATTTTATTGGTTTTTAGAATTTTAAAAGTATACAATGTATTAGTACATTATTTTTAGCAGTTTTTGATTGCCGGAAAGCTAGAAAAACTAGGAAATTTGAAAGCCCAAACAAGAAAAAAAAATTCAATTTCTAGAATTTCTAGTTTTCCAGCTATTCATTTATTCGTAATTTTTATGATTAAAACTATTCAAATTTCGTTATAGGCCCGTAAAAACTTTTTGCAGATAAATGGTCACCCCTGCTAAACGTGAAGCTCCAAAAACCCACTATTTTCTTGGCCCAATGCGCTTCGGCGGATTGCGTATCTGCTGGGCACTGCGAGAAGAAGTCGAAAGCCGGCTTGATTTCCTAGAAAAAACTAATCAATAAGTTTTCAAAACGTACGTTCGCTTTCCCATTTTCCTCGCTCGGCTCGACGCTCGTGGAAGTCAACAAATTCTTGTCATTTTGCGCGTTCGGCGTCTGCTTCAACTCGATCGCCGCGCCGGCGCTTTTCGCACCGCGCTTCCGCGCGATGGGTTGCGGCCTCTGCAAAACTATCGATAAATTTAAAATTGCGATACCTTAAATTCCGGCGTTTCCGGTAGACGATCAATCTCGGCGCCGTTCGGGTTTTGCGAAGCGAAAAAGTCCTGATCCTTCTAAAAACAGCCAAATTTATCCAATGCACAAATTTTACCAAAAAATCCGGAGAAGGCGTGCGAAAACTTCGAGACGCCATCACTTCCGCTGCCCCTTTGGGAAGTTGCGAGAACAGGTTTCGAGGCTAAAATCCGTAGTTTTTTTGTTTAAATTCAGAATCCAACCACATCCGGGCCCTGATCTGTCGAGAAGTCGTATTCGTCGAAATTCTCAAAGAAACCCTGATGTTCCTGATGCTCGTCATTTTCCTGAATTAAAGTACCGTTTAGCTAAATTGACTGAATCCATACCTTTTCTCTGGGTTGCGAGCCAACATAAGGTTCACCAGTTTCTTCCGCTTCTTCTTCTAGGAAGCCCAGCGTTTCCGGTCGTTTTTCTTGCACCTTTTGGGTCGCCAAAAAATCGGGAAGCTAAAAAAAGTGTTGAAAAGTGTTTGAGTCAAATCCCACAATTTTCTTCGTCCAATGCGATTCGACCTGTTGCGTGTCCATCGCGCGCTGCGAGAAAAAGTCGAAAGCCGGCCTTATTTCCTAAAAACAGCAGTAAAATTATCAAAAAAACGCGTACTTCCGTCGGCGCCGCAACGCCAGAACCCAGCAAATTCTTGTCCTGCTCCGGGTTGGGCGTCCGTTTCAGCTCGATCGCCGCGCCCTCGCTTCTCGCCCCACGTTTCCGGTGAATCGGCTTCGGGATCTGGAACGGTTTATAACGATAAACAAATAGGTTCTTTTACCTTCTCGGGGGCACACTTTTTTCAAAGGATCCAATTTTTTTCTAACAACACTTCTTTTCTAACAAAGGAAGTATTTCTAAACTGTTTTTTAGTATTCAAAAATGCAATAACTTTTTAAACTTTGGTTAAAACCAAAAAAAAAGATTTTTCGACCAAAATTTCAACTAAACAACCACATTTCTTCTAAGTTCTTTTTTTATTGTTTTTCCACTAAAAATATGCTTAAAATTTGCTAAAAACGCCATTAACCCGTTAATACCAGCGGATACCTTAAATTCAGGCGTTTCCGGTAGTCGATCAATCTCCGCACCATTCGGGTTTTGCGATTCGAAGAATCCCTGATCTTTCTAAAATCACAGTTCGAAAATTCAGATAGATCCAAAAATACCGTAAAATCCGGGGATGGCGTCCGAAAGGCGCGTGAGGTGGTGGGTTGATCGGATGGTTTCGGGAGCTGCGAGAAGAGATTTTGTTGCTAAAAAAATCTTGCTTATAAAAACGGAAGTATTACTATTTCAGGCCGCATATCGACGTCAAAGTCGTAGCCGTCAAAATTGTCGAAAAAGTCCTCATTTGGGCTTCCGCGGCCCTCGTTCTCCTAAACCGGAAATAATAATTGAAGATTTACAAATTTTCGACCTTGTTCTCCTCGCCGGCGTCGAGACGTTGCGTGGCAATATATTCGTCGACGGTCCTCTTCGGGCCGTTGTTTTCCACGAGATCTTTTAGGCCTTCGAGTTGTTCCTGCAGCTCGTCGCCGTCGTTTTCGGACATTTTCATCAACTGAAATAGCATACGTTTCTTCAGTATTACCGGCTAAATACAAACTTGTTCCTTAGAACTAAATTTTTCTAGCATAAATAGACGAAACGTTTCTAAAATGCCTTTTTTGGCTTGCTCAATGTGAAAACGTTACAAACCGTTTATTAAAAAAAAAAACACAATTAAATTTCTTCCGATCAAAAATTCTTGAGTTTAACCTGAAATACCAAATGTTTGCCGACTTTTTTTTCTCTTTTCTAGAGCTCTGAAACGAACAATAATTATTTTCATACCATCTTACGCAGTTTTTAGTGATGAAAACCATATGCTACATTTTTAAATATGTTAACAATGACTTGTTCACAAAATATAGAAAAAATGGCCAAAAGGTCACGTTTGAAAGCTTCAAAAGGTTAATAATATTTTGTCTAACTAACGATGCAGATTAGAGCCATTTACCAATAGTACCTCATCGAATGATCGCCTCAGTGTGAACAAGTGCTCGGCAATGTTGTTGACCAGAAACGCCGGCTGGGGCCACGAATTTAGCGGCATCATGCAATCCGGGCAGGTCGGGCTCGTCGAACGCGTCAGCTCCTCCACGCAATCACTGAAAAATTCCCTAGACTTTTCAATAAAAGCATTACCTGCAGAAAATATGCTTGCACGTGCCCAAGTATTTGTACTGCGGCTGCTCATCGTCTCGAAACCCGCCCATACTAAATTAGGGTCATTTTCAACATCGCCCGCTCCACCTACCATTTATTACATCTTAATGCCGAAAAGAAGCTCTCCACGCTGTCGACGGCTTTCTGCAGCTTCACCCGCAGGTCCATGGGGCCTGGAAAAAAAGGGGTAGATTTAAATTTGCAGCACATTTCTGCAAAGAGGTCGGAATAAATAGACTATAGACGATATTTCAAGCACAACGCCGCAAGTTTAAAATACCTACAAAATAATAAAGATACTAATAGGCGTCCGCCTAATGTTTCCTATAATAAAGTTTACTTTCAAAGGGCCATTTTAGGTGCTTTACGAGTTTTACGATGTGATGTACCATTCTATTCGATTCTGAACACATCCCATTTTTCAAAAACGGCCGCTCGGTCACGGTCTTCTCGAAAAACTTCCTCAAAGTTTAAATTTGGTCCAAAAATGGCAAATCGGTCTTTTCGGACCCAGTTTTCTGGAACACCGTTGTCGCACAGCAATTTTTAAAAGGTGGGACCTGTTCAAAATTTGAAGCCCTATCAAATGAGTTAGGACACAGGGAAAACACCAAAAAGAACACAAAAACCACTCCTTGCCAGTGCGAGAACCGCGCAAAAGTTTGCTAATCGCGAATTCATAGATTTTGGAGTTGTTTCGCCAAAATTGACACTTTTGGATGGCTAGGTATCGACGCAACGCAAACGTAAGTACAAACCAAGCCAACCGATGACTTCAAGGAGTTCAGCGAGTTTTTCCAAAAGGAACCTCGATAAAAACTATGATCGTCAGTAAACTCCACTAAAAACGTCGTCTTCAGACTGGACTTCATATGATCTCTCCCAACTTCGCAAACCAATCCAATACTGAAAATAACAACGCTTCCCAATGCCAATTCCATGTTCAAGTCTGCCGGTGACAATCAAATTTATTTGGAATTCACATGTACAGACGTAAAAGCATCAACATTGCAAACATAGAACAAAGGCATATAGGAGAACACAATTTCTAGCCGTCTTCAGTAATTTAGTCTTCATCATCGCTCTCGATGCGGGCACGTCGCGCGCCGGCGTTCTTGCGGAGGACGCGGGCCCGGTCGCGGTTGGCCATGGCTTGGCCGGCGTCGGCGGCCATGTTCTTGACGAGATCCTTTTGGCGGATCACCGCCTCCTTGACGCCGACGAGCTGGCGGTTCTTCTGAAATTGCACTAATTAATACGGGAGCGTCAAAATAGTTTTAGAACTATTTAACTAATTTAGAAAGGCAGTTTTGTTGTCGGATGCCTTATTTGTCGCCTAGGCGCCTGGTAATGAATATAAATACCTTTACCAGGATTCTACACACTTTTTAGAAAACAAAAGTAAAAAAGCTGCTCATTTCGTCACAACAAGTCTGAAAATGCTCAAAAAGTGTAATCTCAACCTTCTAGAAAAATTTTTACACCTTTTTAGTAATCAAAAGCTAATAAAAACCTCATAAAAATGGTATCAGTTTATTAATAAGAAGCCTCGGCCAAAAAAAGAAGCTAGCTGACACCCCCCTGCTAAGGAACTAGAACACTTTTAAAACTTTAAAAAACTCACCCCTCCCGGGCTCGCCTCATAGATGGCCTCTTCGCCCAGCCAGCGGCGCAGCGGGGGCACACGGTTCCGGCGCGGGCGCCCCGTCGCTCCTTCAGCCTCCGCAGCGTAAACTAAAACAAAAGGATATAATTTGTTTAGGTGATTCAATGGAAATTCTAAAACAAACTAACCAATTTTCGGCGGCACAACGACGAGCGTTTCCGGGGCCTGCTTGGTGGGACGGGGCGCGCGGCGGGCCGTCAACGAGCACGGCACGTAGGTGGCGTTGGCGTCTGGGGTGCCTGGCTCCTCGGAAGTTGTATCCAGATCTTCGACACGTGCTGCGCGGCGTGGCGGCACGTACATCGGCTTGTCCTCCTCGCTGTCGTCGAGATCGTCGAAACCTGAATGGTGGCATTTGAGGGATTTTGGAAACTTTGGCTAGTGAACTAGAAGAAAGGAACTTCTTCTATGCGTCGTGAACGGCAATTTAGTAAAATAGAATTGAAAAAATAGGATATATAGCAAAAATTTCATGCAATTCAAAAATTTACCTCCGGCCATCGATGATCGGTGACTGGCGGCTCCGATGGACGAGAGGCGCCTCGAGTGCTGGATGGCCTCGTCGGTCGAGCTTGACGTGCTAGGCCGGGAAGTCGAGGAACGCGCTTCATCCTTGGCAAGCGGCACGGCCGCCTCGATAGGCTTCAGCTCGGCTTTGACGACTTTAGGCAGGGGAACAGCAGCAATGCCGGACGGTCCAGGGACTGGGAGTCGCGCCTTGGCTCGCTTGACAGTCTTTTGGAGCACGGCGTGGAAGAGGCTGCGAACTGAAAAGAAACTGATATAAGAGGGAAGAAAAACTATCAAAATCCGAATTTCAACGTGCAGGCGACGGTTCTGGTTCGTTAGCGGGAGGCCCTAGCGTATTTTATTCAGCTCAATAAAAAACTACTTTCTATTGAAGGTTTAGTAGTTTACGAATGCCAGAAATAAATAAACCCTTAAAAATCAAATTTTTGACGTTTTGATAAATTTTTAACCCAGAAATCAAAATTTCGTGAAATATTCTGCATATTTGGAAGCTTTTTTCGACAAAAAAAGCGCAAAATATTAATAAAAACCTTACATTACTTATAAGAAGCATAGGAGAGAATAATCAAAAGTCAGATTTCCCGCCCCCGCTAACCCAACAGAACCCAATTAACTTTCCAAAAAACGTACCATTTTTGTTAGCCTTCGGCGTTGATTGGCGAACGGCGACGACCGGGCTTTCGGCTGAATTGGTCCTCTCGTGATCACGGTGGCAGACGCGGTGCTTCGGCGTAGCCAGCCGCTCGAACACTTCTTGACGCGGTGCACGGCCCGGCGTGTTTTGTAGACGCACATTCGGGAGGCCCGAGTCCGAGCCGCTCGACGGGCTCATCGGCTCGCCATGGTGCTGTGCTTGTTTTTGGACGGCCGGTGTCACGGGCTTGCGAAGTGGCGTGCTGAAAGCGGAAAAATAAATAAAAACAAAAATACGTTTTTAAAATCCCAAATTTCCGCAAATATAACCCTAACGGCATCTAATAAAGCCAGATTTCAAACAAACGCACGGAGAAATGGCGATCGGCGATGGAGAAAGAGGCGCCTCGATTTGGGCGAGCGCACGTGGTGGCGGGATCACGATGGCCGGCGGAGCGAACGTCTTCCTGTTGTGAATCTTCGGGTCGAGCGTCTTGCGAATGTTGAAGCTAGGACGCAGCGGGTTGCTGGTGAGACGAGGCTGCTGCGAGATGACGACCGACGGCTTGTTCTCTTCAGGAGCTTCAACTACCTCCTGCTCCTGCTGCAACTGCTTCTGTCCCATCGACTTTTGATGGTAGGCCGTGGTGTCAACCTAAAAATAGATATGAAACGGGAAATTAAATAATTCGTACCTCCATAGGCTCCTCCTCTTCAATCCCCTGCTGCTCCGAGCGGACCCTGATGGAAACGGACGCGCGGCTGCGCCGGAAATCGATGGAATTCTGGGAGACGTAGAAGCGGCTGTAGTTGCCATCAGCCTCAATCTTCGAAAAGTCCATGTCGAGCAGCTCGGGTGGGCGGTGGCTTTTTGGCGTAGATTGGCTCGGTTGTTGACTAGCTGCAACTAAGATACGTAAACAAATTTTCGATAAAAACTACGGTACCCTCGCATTATCGGGGGAGTACGTTTAGGAATAATAGGACACGACTTAGAAACAATTTCCCCGATTTATGAGAAAATTTTGACGCTACGTAAAAGATAGTATCCCCCGATAAAGCGAAGCCACAAAAACCACAATAAAAATTACCCTTCGCGATCGGCGTCACCTCGATGCCCTCGTCCGGGAGCTTTTGAGCACGAGGAGTCCGTTCTCCGTCGGTGATCGCCGTCTCATCCTTCATAGCCTCCTCCGCTGCAGTCTCGTTGTCCGACGACCATTCGGAACCGGACTCGTCCTTGGCTATTCGCTCGGGCCCCGCCGGCATCTTGTCGCGGAAAATGTTGAATGGGCCGCCGAGATTTTGCTCTTCCTAAAAGCAACATAAAACACACAAAAGAATCATGATTTTACCTCTGCCCAGCGGCGCGCGTTTTCCTGTCGAATTCGGCGAATCTCGTCGGCATCCAGGGCGCTCGTTTCGAATGTATTTTCCTTGTCTTCAACGGCCGACTTGGTTGAAACGGCTCCGAGCGATTTGCGAGCGGCCATGGTCGTGTCGGAGAAGACGGTATCATCCTGGAATTACAGACTTCGACAAGAAAAACCACTTTCTAGGCAGCGCCCATCAGTAAATTTTCTCTACACAACACGATAAAAAAGCTCACCAGCAGATCGGCGGGGCGAACTTGCGAGCGGCGCTTCAGCCCTTTTGTCGTGTGCACCAGCTCGCCGTTCATGCAGAGGCGCTGCTCTTCGGAGAGGTAGACGCGACCACGCCGGATCGGGCGCGGCTTCCCCGCGGTGGTGGTCATCTGAAAAGAATGAAAATGAAAAGATGCTGGCGTCGAAAATAAGCGCAAACTCTCGAGAACAAGAAGGAAATCAGGGGGATCAACAAACAGGAAAAGAACAAAAGAAATCAACGAACAAAAGTTCAAAAAACTAGATGGAAAAGGCATCTAGGTTGGATTTTAGCCAAAATGGGAGTTGTATAGTAGCTAAAGTTTGCAGAGCGTCAATAGCTGCAAGATTTTCAAAGCCTGATAGCATAGAAGAAAGTAAGCCTAGAAGATGTCTAGATGAGAGCAAATTCAATCAGAGAGTTCTAGTTATTGTTACAGTGCGAGCAATCTTTAAAGTCACAAAGTTTAAGCGAATTTCAAAGCCTGTTAGCTTAAATACAGCTATTTCCAAGCTCTAAAAGCCCAAATAAGCGGTAGTTTCTTCAATTCGACAGTGTTAGATGGTCAGGCAACCGATTATGCGTGGGGGTAGCTCGGTTTGAACGCTGCCCCGTGGCGCGCTCGCGAAAGAGCCGCGGCTGGATCGTATTTGAAGGGTGGCACAAAGGATTCATTTGCCGATACCTATTCTATCTTTTTCAATACATGCCA